TCACACATTCTGTGCTTACCAGTCTTTCTGAGAATGATCAAGCTTGTATAATTTTTTTCAGCTATATCCGATAGCACATGATGGCTTTCATTGGAAGTGTGAAGACAAGCTACAATGTAAAAATAGAAAGGCAGGGTATCGTCCCTTCTTTTAGTTCTTTCTTTGCAACCAGTCTTTGCTTCTCAACGAGTGCTCTGAATTCTATTCCTTTGTTTATTTGTTTAGCCTTTGTTCAGTGAACATAAATAATTTTAAACTATTGAGAATTCTACTGGGGGGGGGGGGGGGGGGATTGAAATCATATTCTGACTTTTGCTTTGAGCCATGTTGAATGAAGTCCTAAACAGCTCTCATCCTTAACTGAAAAATGCCTTTGACAAAACTTGAATGGGCAGTGAATATGTATGTACAGCATTTATATTTCTGCATTTTCATTCATAGTTTCCTTGTGGAAAATTGAAACTGAGTAATTCTTTTGTTCTGCTTGGATGGTTGTGAGTGTATCATAAAACAGGCACAACACTCTTGAAGGGGTATTAGAAAGTGTGCCTCCTCTCAGGGGGATTTTGGCCTCTTTTTGCATCCCAAGAAGTTGAGTATTATTTTTTTTTATTTAAGAAATGCTGTGGATAGTTCTTCACCATCTAAGCAGGAGGGGGTTAGATGCATTTTATAGCAAAATAATAAAATCGGTCAATATTCAAAACATATATGCAGATGGAGGGCAGTGAATTCCAGTCAATGATCGTCCACACAAAAAGTATAGTTGAATATCTTAATTTTTGAGCACATGGTCTGATATTTTTGATTGGTTCAGCCTTGCTGAGCACTGAGGAGCTGACTAAATGTATGTTTTTGTCCAAGTATGATTTGTTATCGATGATATTGTGAAAAAACTGAACCTAGCAATTTTCCTTCTAGCTTTAAGGGATTCAAGCTTACATTTGTGTACCAAATGGTCTTTATGAAACGTAAAATATTATTAAATTTTCTCTGGGAAGATGGGCATAATAGGGATTCTGATAAGGACCGCTTGCAATGAAGTGAAACACATTAGATATTTCTATAGATACCCTCCATGGTTGTTGTAGCCAGAACATCCTCCTTTATATTATATAACTAAGCACAAATAAAGCTTCTGGCTAAAAATGGTTAGCATCAGACTGTACTAAATGCATCTTATCACATTGCACAAGGTACACTTGTATCCTGGAATTGTTTAATGGTACCTTTCAAGAGCAAGAGTCTTGTATTTTGCTTGCTCGCATTTTCGTTCCCCAAATGCAATTCAGTCATCATCAGGTTTAAAAGCTCACAGCAAAACTTAATTTTTAAAAGAGGAAAGGGGACAGTGACAAGAACCATGGACACATCCTATGCTGGCACAACTGCTGACAACTCAATGAGAACTCTGCCAGGATTATTCATCCTGTCATTGTGGGAAAACATGAAAAATCTCCAAATTCGGAGCCTCAAGTGGACCACAGTGATTGCTTTCTACCAGCCGATCTAGCACATGAGCATTCAAAGTCTTACAAGAACAAAACTATTATTTTCTTGCCTTTAAGGGGGTACACTGGCTAGAGGTTGAACTTTTGAACTACTCAAGTGATCAGAATGAAATTAGCAGGGGATATTTAACTTCAGATGTAGGTGTACTGTACAAACTTTCATCTCTCTAGGGCAACTTTGCATACCTGCATAAGATGTGTCACTCTTCGTTAAGAAATCTATGATATGCAAAGGAAGCTATTAGGCACCATTTTAAGTGCTTGAGTATAAAGTGGGGTTATGGAACTTCGGGCTATCTAGTTTTTATAAGTTAAATGTAAATATTTCAGGAAGAGTGATTACCTCAAAATATGAGATGCATTTCTGTCCTATGTCAATTTTTGAAAACATAGTTTTTTCTCAATGAGGACTTTAATGTAAAACAAAATAAAGTAGATAGCCCGATTCCCCAGTAAATTTTAGTTCAGAAACATCTTGATTGTGGTATCAAAATAATTTTACCTTCAAACAAAAGATTCCTTCGTATGAAATTTGCAGCAAAAATGGAACTGAGAAAAATGCATTCAAACATTGAACTCCTTTACTTTGTTACTGCCTCACAATGTGTTGAAAATATTTTATATCAATGTAATTATTTGGCACATGGTTATGAAATTTAGTGTAAGGGTGTATAATTAGTTTCTAAAACTGAAAACCTCAAAATTGAAAAATTAATTTTTTTCAAAAAATTTTGAAGCTCAGGCCTATGTCCCTCTTAAAGGGCAACTCCGCTTCATTTTTGGTTTTGAAAAAACAATGCAGTCCTCTTCAGTATCGCCTAGGAAGACCACACGTGAAATGTTACGACGCAGTTCTGTCTAAATGTTTCTTAAACGGTCCGGCAAACTTTGCAATTCGCCAAGTTGCCGAAATCGGCTGACTTGAGCGGGCGAATTCAGGCGCAACCAACAGCGCAGTCAAGGCTACGGCATGGGCAGAGCCAACATTGAGCTAAATGTCATTATCATGGCCCCCTTTTGCTTGTTTTCACTTCTCCGGGCGAGCGTAGCGCATGACGTCAGCAACGTTGCTTCATGTTCAGCGGTGTCCACGTGATCGGTGTAACGCGCCTGCGCAGCGCGTTTCTTGGGAGCCGTCCGGCCACCCGCCGTGGTCCCGCCGTTATTGCCATCTTCCGCGTCACAACCGCCGTCGTCGTCTCACCGATTGTGATTATTGTCTCTCGGAGTTTCGTCCACACTATGGACACCACGTGCTCAGACTTATGCCGCAGTTGTGCAGACGTCGTCGAATGCCGTAGACACCAAAACGTGGCGAAGAGTGCGGTGCAGACGACACTCGCGCCTGCCACACGCCCGCCCCAATCCCGCCCGTCGTTGGGCCGAGGATCATGTGACATCTCGTAGCACGTGATGGCCATGTACTTGGCGACCCGGGGCCAATGTTGCTGGGCGGAGCCGAAGTTTCGGTTTCAATTTCCGCTCGTGTTTAAAATTAGATTTAAAAATATATATCCCATTTTTCGCGAAGCAAACGACGTAGTGTGTTTTACTAGGGTTTTTTAATTCGAAATCAATCATTATCCCAAAATCTTTGGAATTGAGCGGAGTTGCCCTTTAAGGGGAACTAAAGTAGATTTGGAGTTTGCCTTTTTCTGGCACCGGTTTAATCTATGTGGCCCAAACGTTCTAGAAAGTCCAAAATTACGATGATACATTGCCTTTTTTCCCTTTAAAAATGTGTCTAAACATTGTGAGATGCCCCTTTTTCGGACATATTTATAAAAGGGGGTCTGTTTGTAGCATTTGATAACATTTAGGGAAAAAGGCCACATATGATTGTAGTTTTGGGTTTTCTAGAACCCTTGGGGTGCATAGATTGAGTTTGCAACACAAAAAGACGAAATCAAAAACTACATTGTGTCCCTTTAATCTTCCTACAAATGTGGTGTCTTTGCTTGGAACATAATGGTTTTCAATGAATTTTGTCATTGTTTATACCTGTCACAAGTGAAATTTGTTTCTCTATTTAATAATCCACTAGGTATGTGCTGTTGAATGCTATAGCACACCTTACCTCAGGTTAGGTAGGGTGTGCTATACCACTCTTGTAGTGGTTGTCATCTTTGTGTGTTACATTACAGCTGTCACTTACTTTCATCTCATGCTTTGCTCATGCATTATTCATGCTTTTTCTGTCCATGGTTCAATGGTTGTGGCTGGCTTCCTTCGCCCAAAACCATCTATGTTGGCATGTTCCTTGATGTTCTTTCCCTTCACAAGTTGTTTAAGATCGTGAAACCCTCTGGAGTGGCACAGAGGTGCATGCATACCTAAATTTCAATGATTGCATAATGGAGATGCATTTGGTATCTTCGATGGGGAAATTTTCGTGCTGAATGCAAATTGTATCCCAAGTGTGTGATGTGCTGGCCCTTCAAGGCCTTAAATTGTTGGTTTTGAAATAAATCGTTGATATCATTGCAGAAATTGCAACATGGTGCGTGATCAAAGTACTGTGGGTTTGTAGCTATTGCGGTCTTCCCTGCATAGCTGTTGCCCCCTTCAAGTACAGCCAACCTTGTTTTGTGTCGTTTTCTGCTTTCAAAAGATGAGAGCTTAGTAATCTTACTGCTGTAAAGAATATTATTTTTGCAAGCAATTTTTGTAAACTTTTAAAAAGTGGGTTGTGGGAATATTTTTTTGTCACAAATTTTCACGATTTCAAGTGATACATTATGTTTTCACTACCATAGAGTGATATATTCGCAATACTGACTTTTGCAGTGTTTTCCGAGTTGTGAAATTCATAAAAATTCAGTAATTTACATGAGATTTCTAGGCTGGGTAATACTAAAAACATTGATATGACTTGCTTTTGACAGCTTTCAAGGACAAACACTTGTGCAGCCACACTAACAAAACTTGCTTTACCTTTGCAAAATATTTCTTATTCTGGTGCAACAGTTGAATGGCGTCTATATTACAATAAATAGAACTAGATAGAAAAAAATATTTTGGTATGAATTGTATGTTTTTTATGATGCTCTTTTATTATTCTTCCTACTGATAGAGCATGGATGCTAGGAAGAAGAAGTTGGGGCTGTGCATGATTTGTGGCAAAGATTTTGTGCTGTGCTTGTTTTGTACTTATTGCACTGTAGTATCTGTGGTCATTTCAGGCCCTGTGAAAAAAATAAATGAGCGTGTCTCTCCAAAAACAAAAACAACACAATTTCAAGATAATCATTCTTTTGTGTGTGGCATCAAGCAATAGTTGCATTCTTTTGTTTCTAAAGGCCAATTGAATTTGGCGTGTTTGCTTTCTGTAGTATGCCTTGTATTCTATTCTGTGAGATTGCATCTCTTTTCAATTACTTTCAATCATAATCATCTTCTCTGTCAGGATTTTGACAAATGCATCCTTCTCCCTCCAACCATTTGGTTCTTGAATGTTTGACGAAAGCTGAGGAACCTTTTTCTGCACAGGAACTCCATCAGCAATGGCATGTGGCCCACATCAGTACAGAACATAGGGATTCTTTGCGTGATCGTTTTCCTGTTCATGCTTTCGGAAATTGATGTGGCAGAGTCCATCAAAGAGTTCTTTTGGGACGCTGGAGACACATTGCATGTGCCTCACGGTAAGTATCTCAACTTGGCTTGTGGTTACTGTGGCAGTCACTACCACTGTGAAAAATAGTGAGTTTTCCCTCACCTATAAAACTGGCCACTGCTTATGGTTCTATTAAGGGCCACTCCAGACTAGAACCGGCATCTTTTATTTCACTTAGGAGCCAATAACTTTATTTATATACATAAATAATAAAATTTGTTTGTGACCTGGCTTCAGACCCCTGGCTTCAGGGGTCTGAAGCCAGCGTGGGATCTGGCCTGTGAAGCAATATTATGAGGCCCCCAACACGCGTGAGCTTTGTTTGGAGTAACGGCTTGTATCACCATCAATTTTGACAGTTTTGGTCGCACATAGAGGCATGGTATGGGGGTGTCCAATACAACACAGAAGTTCAATGGATAAAAAGCTACGAAGGTTTTTTTTAATCTTATCTTTTTTTTTACATAATCTTTTTTTGGGGGAAGATGTTTTTGCAGGATCTTCCTTATCCTAATTGAGTGTGTGGTTTAGCATTTCTGGCTAATATTTCATACACTTAAAAACATAAACCTAACAGTACAATGTAAAAGAAAATTCACTGTGGGTAGCTCTCAGATGTGAAAGTTCTGAGTTGTAGCATGTGCTCCTAGAGCACTATGAGCTTCCATGAACAAGAAATCTCTTAAGTTCTTTTTTTAACAAATATATGCAGAAGAAACATGCTGATTGTGCCATGACTGTGTTACAAAGAGAGTCTCTGTGAGATACTAGCGATCCGAATAGGGAGTATGAAATTGGGTTTCCTGACTTTCAGAAATACTACCTAAAACGGCCTCTACATTCTCAACTTTGTATTTAAGGTAGATGACGGCCAAGTACAAGAGATTTGTCAGATAGGTCCTGCTGATCACTAAACATACAATATGTTTAAGTATGCATTTGCGGTGAACAACTTCTGAAAGTTTTACACTGACCTCCTCGAATGAATCTACAAAAGCTCTCAGCAGCCTTGAACAGAGTGTTCGCTGCAGTAGGTATATCTACAAACATAATTTTTCAAGATTAAGACCGTAAAGTCAAATGTATGTTTGCAAATGAAAGATGGGCATGTCCCACAAGTTCTACAACTCTCAGTAGCTTTGATCTGATTGTTTGCATCTTGGCTAACAACATTGAATATAAAATTGTTATTACCATGTTATGTGCACCAAAATCAAGGGAATATTTTTGTGCATCAGTCTAAGTGGGTAATAGTATTTTTAAATATTTATATTTCCATAAACTGGCAAACCCCCCTCCTCCTCCACCTCCTCCTCCTTCCACCTCCGGTTTTCTGTCTTGCACCCTCCATCTCCACTTTGTGGTGATTCGACCCTCTGCAGCAAAAGCTTGCTGACACCTGTACTAAGTAGTAAACTTTATTGTAAGATATTTTCCCAATATCTTGGTAATCAACACGAAACGAGAATACAAGCAGGCTTTTTTAAGTCAATATGCTTATCTCAGTAATGAAGCATAGGAATAACTTTGAGGAGTGACTCTGCCTACTTTAGAAATGCTTTGTGACATCACGACAACAACCATTTATTTTGCCAACATATGCATCTTCCTCGTTTACTTGTTGGTGATGAATAGAAGAAACCTTGAAGAATGACATGATCTTACGGCAGCTGTTTGGTGAGGAAGCATACAATACGCCAAATTTTCGACCTTGTAATTTTCATCAGTTTCTTTTTGGAATTTCAACTTATGATTTAACTCATGTGGTCACGTGGGACATGATCTGTAGGAAGGCATCTTGAAAATGTTGTGTGTTTAAGTAGCAAACCATGAGGGATCTTGTTTGAACAAACATGTGTTTTTGATCAAGTGCTCCTTTGACAAGGTACTACCGTATGCAGATAAAATGCAGGAAACAGATTGTTGTAGCTACATGCTAATTATGTAGTGAATGTAGTGACGGACTAGTGATTGACATGGTATGAAATCGTGAAATTCTAAATGTTGAAGCCAAATAGGGTGATAAACAACATCAAATTTTGGAACCATATTCCTTGAGATTCATTTTTGGTCCATCTCCAATCTTCTGAATTTGGTCTGACATGATCTAGAATGGTATTTGTAAAAAAATACACTAGTGATGGCAGGGTTGCCATTATGTTATTCCTATTAGAATTATGCCTCTTCATGCTCTAACATCTAGTACCATATTTACTCACATAATGAACACCCCTTTTATTTTATTAAAAATTGACAGATATTTCGGGGGTGCGTTTATTACGCAGGGTAAAACTTTTGCATTTACACACTTTGTGCCAATGTTATTTTAACTGCCAATATGACACGACAGGGTACTGTGGTACATCTTCACTGACGGAGGAGCGCCCACGGCTGATCGTGGACACACCACAGTAATCCGGTGCACCATTCTATAAATTGCAAATATTTTTCAGGGCACTTTCGGCATGCCTTTTGCTCAAAGAAAAGTGCCCTACGAAGTTCGGTATGGAAGTGACATGGCCTTCCTTAGGCCTAACCACTTTCACGATTTCACTGTGTGAAAGCGGATCACAGGCTGCATATTTGTTGACATCAATGCATCCGATGGGTGAAACATGTCTGGGGCTGGGCAGTTCCTCGACCCCAGCGTTGTTAGGTGTGCGCGCAGCTCGGTTTCACTGTTGATCACTTCCACAACTGCGCACTGGCAGCCATTACGCACATGTACTGATATGCTTGGCTTAGCTGGGCCTGGCCACTTGGCGGCAAAAGAAAATTGACCTGGCGAGCTTGGTGGCTGTCTGAGTTGAACGCAGTTCAGAACTCGCGGAGCCGAAAATTCAAGGTGCGTTCATTACACAAGAGAGGGAAAAAGTCAAAATATTGTGCAGTGCATTCATTATGCAAGTGAATGCGGTATTTACAAAGCAAGTGGATGGTTCAAACTACAAATAAATTTTAATAATGCTGTGGCTCATTTTTTTTGAGATGCAAAAAACCAAATGCTTCCAGAAAAAAAAAAGTTTTATGTATAATTGTTTGGCAGGAAATACCTGGGTTGACGGTGTTAAAAGCAGACAGAAAAAATGCTTTTGAAGGGTATTGCAAATTTCAAATAGTTTGGCGTAAACTGTGACTCTTCTTCTTTTGATCTTGGACAGTTCTGTTCAGTGCAAATCAGTTTGTTGCATGAGTTTTTAGACACAGGTCATACGCAATAGCAAATATTTCAAATTCTCGTCAGTGCCACATAGCTTTCATACCTGATGAGCTTTGAGCTATTTTTCATGCGTACGTATGTGGAGCACATATATATGCAAGCATACATATGCATGAGTACAAAGTCGCGTCTTTACACTACAAACTCATGTCTTTAAAAGTTGCTTCTAAAGCTGCTTTCAAATTATTGACAAATATACATAACTAGTTAAACAGTTATCAACACATACACACAGAAGTTTCAGATCTTTATTTATATGCCAGTATTCTTCAGTGCTTGCGAAAGGTTTGACAGCAAGACTTTTTTACAAGTGCAGATCCCTAACATTTTTATATCCTGTCCAAATGCTTTCCTGAGAAAATATTTGACAAAATCATAGCATGAACAGATATGCCATTAACATTTTACAGTTGTACAAGTAATGCAGCATAATTTGGCTTCAACACTGATTCTGAATTATGGTGAGTTTCTTATTTACTTCAGGTTTTAGGAAAGCCATGTTGTAAGAACTGTCCATTGTCTGCTTCTAGATTGCTGCTTTTGATTACTAAGCAAATGTCCAACATTCTTTCTTTAAAGAAAGTACACCCTGGTCTGGGACCATTTCTTTGGGGACCATTGTTTTTATTTACCCTATAGCTCTTTCAACAGGCAATTTGTTGTGCTCTTAATTCTGGCTTGTGCTAGTTTCGCTCAAGAACTGTACTAAAGGGCCCGACTCTTTGTAGAGCATTACTTGATTTCTGCTTAATCCTGCTGAATGAATTATTTATATCGAGAGGTAACATACTAGAAAAAGTTGGCTTATTAAGAGACTGCATATTTTATTTGAAAGTGCCCATTTCAATCAATGAATACTTTGTCTTCTTTATATACAAACAAGTTCTGGAACATATGCTTTGAACACTAAGTGGAACTTTCTTTAAAGCCTTTTTGTTTCTTCTTTTGAGGTGACCATACTGTGGAACTTTCATTAAGGCCTTTTTGTACCTTCTTTTGAGGTGAACATATTTATAAGTTCATCTTTCGACACATTTCTTTAGACTTCATAGTCATTTTATCCCCATGACACAGGGGGGTAAAATTCTATTTGGAGATAAATCCTGCTGTAAACAACTGCTTTCATAGAATGATGGCAATTGTATTTTACATTGAACTTGGTTTCTGTCCAGCCTGTCACTTGAAGGGTAGCTGCCTAGAGCATTAGGTGCACTTGCCCTGTCTATATCCCTCTTTTGTCATTTTTGTCTCTTCCTGTGTGTTTCACTTTTGGGTCAATGTTTGAATTGCCAATGGCTGCATTTGTAACTATCTAATTCGAAACACAAAATAACCTCGTGTTCATCTCTTGCAGCACTCCCATCCACGGTTCGAGCTGTCATTGTCGCCTGTTTCATCAGCATTGTCCTCTCGGTTATCTTTATGAAAGTTCGCCAGATTATTCTTCGTGGCCTTCTTGCATACAGAGGATGGATGTGTGAGTATAACATCTGGAGATTTCTGCCTCTGTTTTTATAAGTAGCATTTCCTAAAACCTCGGTAGCATTGTAACATAAACCATTGCAGAAAGGAAAAGAAGGAAACACGAAGGGATGAATGCTGATGCATGCATTTGCTCAGAGAGTGAGACGGTTACTCCTAACGAGCGATAGCTGTTTATTCTTTTTCACAGCTTGCAAGTTGCAATCACGTTTACTCGTACACCGGAAATCGCTTATGTGAGACATCAACCTGCCCAGTAAAATCGAGCACACGGCACTAACCTATAAACAAGAGCAACTCTAATGAAAACTTTAAAAAAGTTTTCATTTGCGCTTTGTGTTGTCTTACTTACTTTGTCCTTGTCTTGCGGCGCATTTTGTCAAAATAAGTCATGTACCAATTGGCCCATCTTTCACTATTGAAACTTAAAAAAAGCTTCTTTTTAGTGCTGGCATTAAGAGTAGCACATGTCTGTATTGGTAATTTTCAACGATCTCCACCTTGGTCAATGCAGGTTTTCCAGTAATTCAACAAATGCATAAATTGCTGTAGAAAAAAAAGAAAAAATTCATTGGACGATCACGCTGCGCATGGACAGCGTGAGCTGGTGCGTCATTAGAATGATATTGTGTCATGATTGACTGAAAATTAGGGTGACGTTGCTTCTTGTGGTGTCACGCAAACCACAACCGATCACACAAAGGACAGCTGGCACCAAACACAATCTCGCAGGTGCACTGCAAAAATTGCTCAATTGCACCAGCTTCTCCACTTTTGGCTTCACCTCTGTTTTGTACGTTAGGATGACACACAATATAATTTTAATCACAGACTGTAAAAAAAAAAGTGGTTGTATGTTTGTATTGTTGTGCACTATGCCAACGAAAGTACAGCATCTTCAGTGGCGCAAATGACGAACCCTACTTCCCATCGTTGCGGAAGTTGCGCACCAGAAGCCGCAACCTGTCAGGGCAAACTCCATTGCACGGTTTCCATGGCATCGTAGTTAAAAATGTTATCACAATTTGAAAATTTTTACTTAACTTGTTCATATCAGTAAAACATGCAAAAGAGCCTCCTCGTGTATATTATCTGTGCTGTGCAGTGTACATGTGCCTGTGCAATGTACTATCGGGGAAAACTTAAATACGAACAGAGGAGCACGTGGCTCACAGTACAGACTGCACCGCCTGGAAGTGAGCCTAGGGGCGAGGGTGTATGACCTACCCTGATGTGTATACTAAAGTCCCTTCATCTTTTAAAAGTAGCGCAAGGAGCGTCGATGCATGATGCACGTGCAACGTCCAGCCTTTGGGAAGATCATGGCGGCACAGCGCAGCACTGAGCTTGATTTCAGATGCCATGTTCTTCTCAGTAGTGGCATGCGGCACGTGTCTCAAGCATTTCCACAACAATGAATGGCGCTACTTTTCCCAGGATGGAGGGACTTTAGTGTATATGCCCCTCGCTCGGCGCTTTCCAAGCTTCGGCATTGCGCCTCTTAGTGCACTGAAAGCTATCACCGCTATCTTTGCTTGCTCGATGCGTGCGGTGCAAGGGAGCTCGCTGCTGGTAGCAGCTGAAGCACGCGCTGGCTGAGCGAGCACTTTTTTTTAGCATCTCAAATTTTTTGTCTCTTAGCAAAATGTTTCTTAGTGACACATCGAGTCTCCCTCTGAGGCCACCAGGATCTTCTTTTCGTGTACCTCAGGCACGTATCCAGGGGGGTAGCCCATGGGGCCTGGGCTTCCCCCCCCCCCCCCGAAATCTTCCATTTTGCTGGGGCCTCCTCTCCCCCCTCCCCCTCATACAACATTTTGTCATGGGTGGGACCCCCCCCCAAAACAAAATCCTGGCTACGTGCCTGGTGTACCACCAGCCCTACCCTGTTTTGCAGAGTTGTAGTTCTACGTAATGTCCAGTCCGGTTAAAAAGCTGGAGGTACACCTAAGAATTTATGAGTTGTGAATGCGAAAGCTTGCAAGCCGCTCGTCCGCTCCCTTTGTCATCTGCTGCGTACCAGCGCACGCGCGCTTCGGGATCTCGGAGGCCATGGCGTAGCGGCCAATGGGAGCCCCGTCGACGCGCGCCAGCCTATGGAACCGAAGGTGCGGAAACCAGGAGCCGTTTTCGTGCTTCAAACTGATGACATCAGCTCGCTCCATGAGACAGTTAATGCTTTCGCATTAATAGGTCGCATTTAGTAATTTCAGTATTTCTATACTTGGTGACAGCATCCTGTGGGGATTCTGAAGTAGAAAAGGCGTATTTAGGTGCCTTGGTGCTACGTTAATGTTTAACCCCTTAAGTGCCAAATTTTTTTTTCCAAAAGTAACCTAAAAGTGCCATATCTTTTTTATTTTGAATTGTTATTCCTCTAGTATTACACATAAAATTTGAAAGTTTATTACGCAAAAATCAGCGGAGGCGAAAAAAATATTTGCCAAATAAAACAAGTGCTCATCAGCGCCGCAAAACTACTTGGACGAGCCTAGCTCGTTCGTGGAATTGAGGGTTACAGAAAAAACCACTGGATGAGCTAAGCTCGTCCACGGCATTTTTAACCAGAAAGTGGCCGACGAGGTTTTTACAGCGGAGCTGTTAAGGGCTAGGTTCCCCAAAATCGTGTTTGGTATGTCAGCACAAACCTACCTGGACAGCTACTGTCATCTATAAGCGACGGCGGCAAGCACACAACTAGTATGGTTTCCGCCGTCGCTCGTAGATGGCGCCAACCTTTCCAGCTATTACAGAAGAATTGATAGTTGGGCGCGTTGGTGGCAATTCATCGTTGGAAACTGCTCGAAAAACAGACGACGACGAAGAAGAAGCACACGTAACGAGCGCAGCGCTCGTCACGTTTGTTTCTTCGTCCTCGTCTGTTTTGCGCACCGTTTCCTACGCTCTTATCAGTTTCGGTTTGGACTCGCGATGGGTCAGCGGCGCGACCTTTCGGGGAAAGGAGACAGGCTGTGGAAGGAGCGGTTACGTACGCAGCAGTGCGAATGAGTCCGCAACCGCCGAAAAGCCGCTGTCGCCTCGACTTCCACTACGTCCAGCGCTTCAGATTCCTTTGCCAAAGAGCACATCAGTCGCCTGGAAAGCCGCCGCCCAGAACTAAACCAGCGATGTAAAGGGCGCCGGCAGGCCAACGCCACGGACGATGATCGTCCCACAGAGGCCAAGCGCAAGTGCGAGGCCCGGCGACGACTGCACTTTACGGCGAGGTTCCGGAGGGAGTTTGTGGAGAACTTGTTTGGCGTCACGTGTGCCGTGTGCGACCGACTCTGGTTTGCCAGAGACGTATCCACGATCGGCGGCATGTCGGACGAGAAGAAGCGGGAATCGGGCGCTTGCGCGTTGCGGCAGTGTATCGAGTACAGCTGTGCTGGTCTTCCTTCTTCATGAGAGTGGAAAGGCTGAACGTTTTTGTACTTTCAGTATATATTGTGCTTAGAACAATTCCTTGAGGTCGATAACATATGAAATATGGATTAGCTTTTCTCTCCACAAAATGCCAGTCGCAAAAAAAAAAAAAAATAAGCAGCGTTCCCCCTCACTTTGCAAATAGAACGAGTGGCCACGTCATCTGCTGCTGATTATATACTGCCAGTGTCCATCGTAGCCACGTGCTGGGAATGGCAATGCACAAGGAAAAAGTACTCAAAAAGCCGGGAGACGTTATAATTAAAATAACGACACCTACTTAACAGTACCATGAAGAACAATTTCGTTAAACGTTTTGCCTTCTATGCGGGAGGCATCTTCAGCAAATACAACAGGAAGCGTACATGGAACTTCCTGATAAAAACTGTGTCTAGATAAAACCTTGCATTGCTGCTGTACTAACCGAAGATGCCTCTCGCATGGGAGGCAAAACGTTTAATAATATTGTTTTTTATGTTATGTCGAGTCAGCTCATTATTACAATGATAAAGCATAGGGCACAGGCTGAACTCCAGAAATTGTTATTAGAGTTTGTCTAATCCCATTTTTTGATTGAACACGACTCACTATTTGAATGTTTGCCGATGCTGTCACGAGCTCCAGTCAAGTGCTCGGGTGCACAACAATCGACTGTGCCATGGCATCTTTTGACGCACGGTATGAAGTTGTGGTGCCACGTGACGTCACGGTCTTAACAAAGCTGTTGGATCTAGTAACGTTGGGTGCAAAGTCGTGGCATAATATGATTTCATGGTGTAATGCTATCCGACGACTTGACTTGACGTCACATGACCACATCGCACAATATCACAAGACACAATGTCGCATAATTAATCGAAGTGTTAATACAAAACCGCCATGAAAGCCTGTCATTTCTCATTCATTAAAATTCTGTATATGACAATTTTTTGATAAATCTTGAAATAGCACTGCTAATCTTTTTTTTTTTTTTTTTTTGTAATCTCAAACATTTAGTTTGTGAAATTAACAAAAAATATTAGGCTGAACCGTTTTGAACCTTTTAGCGTTACGCTTTCGTCCGGTTTAGTTCTAAGATGGCGGCGATGATTTCGGTTTGGTTTGATTTCGTTTCAACTAAATATAACGTTTCAGTTTGGTTGCGGTTTTTGGTCCTGTGGTGAGGAGGGGCCGAAGGCATGGATAATCTGCGAGCGTCTCCAGCCTTCACTCAGCATCTCTGACTTGCTCTCCTCCTCCCCACGTGGTGACTCAACAATGTGCGTCAGCACCCAATCTGCACAGGAGGTGTCTGCCACTAGGTTGCAAACGCTTTCCATGGTTTCAGCTGCTCTCTATCTTAAGTCTAGACTCTCTAGTGTTGAGTGTTACAAAGGGATGCATGCACTCAGTGTGTGAACCAGCCTTAAGCAGTGGCAGCTCGGTGCTGACCCCGAAAGGGCCCAAGTAGCACAGTCTTTTGAGCTAAGATTTGGTTCTCGTCGGGCAATTTAGGGACCTGGAAGCCCCGGAAGGACCAAGGCACTACCAAACTTCATATTCTTTGGCCATTTTGGCCCTAAATTGGCAAACAAGGGCCAGAGTTAATGCTTCACCTCGTGGTTGTTTGGTAGTCGGCCGGCTTCTTAGGGCCTCAATTCTCGAGGAAATGCCTGAGTGAGGCTTAGGATCCTGTTGTTTGGTATTCATCTGGAAACTTTGGGTGCAAATTGCTATACAAGTGCCAGATTTAGGCTTCACTTAGTGTCATAAAAAGGGGGAAGGTTTGGCGGCTTCAGCCCCCCCCCCCCCTCCCCCTCTCTCCCTCCCTCCCTCCCCCCCTGGCTCGAAACAGATTCCTGGCTATGCCACTGACTTCACTGCTGGTTGTTCGGTTGATAAGTGGCATCTTTGGCTTATATCTGGCACTTTGGCAATTATCTGGCGAACTAGAGAAAAGCTATAAATAGCCAGAGCAAAGTACTTTGCAACTAACTTGCTTTCGAGTGAAATCTTATTAGGCCCAAGTAGGACCCTAGGATTGCCAAAGCTAGGGTCAAGTTCAGTGTTTCTCTGGCGTGCTACCCGGATACTCACGAAAGAACCCTCCCTTCGTGCCAGACGAAGCCCGCAAGCCCGGCGAGAAGTACCTGACTCTCATGTGGTGCATGGCGGTGAGGGTGGTGAGCGGCTACCAGCCGTCACTGTACAGCTGCCAGCGGTGCCTGCCCAGGCTGCCCGTGCCTCCGCTTCACGACACTATAGTGCGGTTGCTGGACTCTCTCAAGGCCGTCTGCACCGAGGACGAGATGAAGGTCCTCTCCGAGCAGGCTGAGGTGAGAGCGGCTTGGAACGCGATGCCTGAAACAGGAGATGTGGACAGAGAAGGGATCTGACCCATTTCTGACGCTTTAAGCATTAAAAGTAAACACACAGTACTTCTGCCACTGCTGCTGCTACTGCTTCCACTACCGATTCCAACACTGTTTCTCCTATTGTTTCCGCCACTGGTTTTGCTATATTCCATTCTCTAAGCTGGCAGTGCTGTGGAACATGCGTGTTCATTGAACCGGTCATACTTCTGTCTTCCGTTACACAATCACGCTCCAGCCAATACCCATGCTCAGAGGGCCAGGTCGGGTGGTTATCATTTGGGCCCATTCTTGTTTCGACCTTCTCGTTCAAATTTTTTCAAAAGGACCATCCTCAAAACATACTTCTCGGTATGGCCCGCCGCATTTGATCTATTCTCGTTACATCCTTTGTGTTTTATACTCCAAGAAAAAAAAGAATGGGGCACTTCGAGGTGTCTGTGTTGTGGCTAGGTCACCGCATGTCCCCAAAGAAACTTCTTCAACTCCACCCCTCCCACCTCCCAGCTTGCTTATACGCAAGCGCTCGCATACGCACGCACAAATGCTAATTAGTCCCGGGGCTTTAGCCAATAGTTCCTGGAATACATCTCTTCTGCTCTTGAAACATGCAGTGGAGGTCAGGACCCGCTTGTTGGGTTGTCCGGAAGTCCTAGCAGGCACTGGGCAATAAAACACCAAACTGATCTTTTGTTTCGGGAAAGCACGGCTTCATAGGTCTCTCTTTTCCCTGATCGCGAAAGGGTGCCCTTGAGTAATCTCTGAAGTGAAAGGCGATGAGTGTGTGCTGCGGGATGGGCGTTCAAAAGAGTCATTTGTTGCGGCTGTCGTTGGCCTCAGCATTGCTGCTCTTGTCCACTTCATAGCAGTAGCTTGTCACTTTGTGAAACAGGTCACTTATATGGTGCTTTGTCATGAGCTCCAGTCGAGCAGTGTTTGCATGTTTCCTACATTTGAGCTCAAAAGTGCATTGTCACTGCCTCTAAGGCTCCTTTATCAGAGGCTGATGTGAGTTTCATTGTCATGTTTTCCATATACTGTTTGGGGTTGGTGCTGGTTGAGCTACTAGTTCTGGTTCTCTCTTTTTGTGATGCAGAAATTTGAGAAGACCTTAGGACCAACCTTGCAACGACTGCTTTACTTGCGGTCATGGTATGCAAGCAACTACGTCACTGATTGGTGGTAAGCATTACCTTTTAAATGGGGAGTTATGCCGATTTCTAATGATTAGAGTTCTATGTTTCCGGATCTTAGTTTTTCTTGAGATTGGGGGTGTTATTTTATGAGCTCCTTTATTCCACTTATTCGGCTTTTTTTGGTGTTGGTCAAAATATTAGTGCTTATAGTGGCTTGTGTTAAACAAAACAGGACAGGCCATGGGATTACCGAAATCTGGGGAACATGGGCACGACCAGAATGCACACTTGGAAAATGTTCTGGTGCCAATAAGGAAAGAAAACGAGTGCCTGCTTCCGATATGCTGGGGATCGGAAGCAGACAACACGTGGCTCGAGATTTAGAAGTGCATTGCATTGCTTGGCACTGGTCAGATGAGCAGAGTTTTTGCACATTTTAGGTGACTTTGAATGTGCCAAGATGTGACGGCAGCAGCTACTAATCACTGTTTGCCATGTCGTCTGCATGCTTGCCACTTTGGTCATTTTTATTTAAAACCTAGGCTTCTGAGCTTCTTTTTTTCTTTTTTAGACCTTGAAATGGATGGATATGTATTTTATAAAGCACACATACAATGTTAAAATCAGTTGGCACGCTTTACACTGTCCATTAAGCAAGCGAAATATGGTTTCCTTACAATATCTATTCATTTGCAGTAGAATGGTGAATGTGATGGCATTTGCTGCTATACTTGGCATCAGCTTTCTTGTGCTATGTTGTTAAGTCTGACATAGCTTCCATAGTGCTGCAGCCCTGTGCTGCTGCGAAAGTATGTGGCTTTGTCTCGAGTCTCATTTGTATGCACTCTCGTACGAAGAAGATGCCAAACGAAACCATGCCCGCGCCGAAGTAGCTTTGACAGCGTTGGAGCACTGCAGAAACAACACTGGCCTTGGTGATGTGGAACAAAGAAGTTATCCGCCTATTTTCAGACGGTGCATTGGTGTATAGTTATGAGAGATGACAGTTTAGTTGGTTTTAATCTGCCTTCTTTGGGAGCATGTACAGTGGCTCTAGGTAACACATCCAGTCATGTGATTGCTGCGCCAAATGCGCCAAACTGCGCCAAGGGGCAGACCCTGCTACATCCTGCTACATTATATTCCCAACGAGCGTGTTGGTAAGATGTACTAGATAACAGAAAGTATAAAACAGAGTATAGAACTCTGTTTCGTCCTCCCTCTGTTTTATACTTTCTGTTATCTAGTACATCCTGCTACATTTTGCCAAAATATGGGTAATCTGCACCAAGCCTGTGCCAAAAAAACAATTTCGGTCGCCTTTCAAAGCCGACACTAAAATGAGTACCGTGCACAAAGTACCCTGCATCAATTGTCCATCTGGTCTGGCATGGTTTTCCCGCTATCTCACGTTTCATGCTCTCGTCGCCTCGTAGGTCTTGTCTCGCGTCTTTTTTAAAAATATTTTTCAACGATAGACGCGGGTGTGTACAGATGCTTCGACGCTATAGTGTGCCGGGTACCAGCCGTGCCGTCGTGTTGTGGACGAAACCACGTTTTTGCGCGGCAGGAGTTGCTTTGTGAGCTAAAACACTCGTTCCTGAAAGCAATGGCTGCGGGAAAACTACATTTGCTCCCTGCCTTCCAGTCACCGTGGTCGCGCGACGTCGGGTGTTGCCGTCTCCACGTCGCTGCAGATATGGCGCTTTCTAAAATGAAACTAAGTACCGCCGCATGCTCATCAATATTCCATGTTCTTGTTTAAATCATACGTTACTATAAAAATTCCTCTTTAACTCAAAGACTGCTGTGTTGAAGTATTGATTACCTATGTTTCTCTCGGTGGACTTTCTTTCAAGTGGGACCCCGGTATGTGCAAAAATGTGCCGCGAAAGGAATTTGGTGAAGAGAAGTGAGCTAAAACAAAGAAGGCAATGTATGCACACTAAGCCAGCGCAGCGCATTTGTTTTTCTCGAGTTCAGTCGCTGCACAAAGTGCTCCAATAACTTTTTGACCCTGGCTCGCGATGTCTTGCATCAATGCGCTCAGGTTCTCCTTTTTTTTTTCTTTTTTTTTTTTTTCTGTATGGGTTTAGCTTGTACCTTGTTTGCCGGCCTGGTAAGCACGAACTGCTGGACTGTTTATGCTGTTTACTCGACAGTCACATTTTGCATACAATTTTGGGAATCAGCTGGCGACGGAGCGGTGTGGCATGGTCTCGGTTTCGATCGAACAGCCGTTGTCTCCGCTCGCGCAACGAAGTACGCGCAACTGCAAGCCTGCCGAAGTTGCCATCACGTGCATGCGAACATGATTGCACGACAGAGGCACCAGCCGGGACACTTGCAATTTATTGGTCCACGTTTGCTTACTTTTGATAAAAATCTTGGCACGTCGAGAACCAGTAAAACGGTGGCAAGTTGTTTTTCGGAATTGCTCAACATTGCCTACAGCACTGTACACTCGTGGGATGTCTCAGTAGTAAAACCACAAGCAGCGAGTTTCGTCACAAGTCACATCAGAACACAACACAATATAAAGTATCCTTCGTTTGTGCAGCACTTAAAGGGATGCTACAACGAAATTTCGGCGCTTATTTTAAGATCTATATGTATTCAAAGGAGCAGTATCACATCGAACACACCAATATCTTGTTAAAAAAGTCTCGAAAAGGAATTTTAAAACAAATTAAGCGATTAGCAAAGAGCACCTGGTGGATGTCGCTAACGCCTCGTTTGTAATGCCCGTCTAGGAACCTTGACAGCTAGTGACGGAGGTTGTCTCGCCTCCGGCCACGACGAAAGAAGAGGGGAAGGAGGAACTTTCCTCTTTCCGAGAATGCCTCTTGTGTGTCGCAGAAGTCGCTATTGTCCCCCTACAAGATTATAGAAGATTAACCCGTCACTCAAAATTCGTACAAAAGCAGCCGCTTCGGTGGCTGGAACGACTAGCCATCCTCTCGACGTCAGCCTCGCCGTAGTTTTGCTCGACCCGAGACGACCTACGTCACGATTGCGTTGGATGTCACGTGGTCTCCGCCGGGCCTTCTCAGAGCGCTTGCCAGAGTGGGCCGTTTATAACGAAAAATACAGCCACCAGGCTCAAAATACAAACATGAAATTTTCTTTTATGGATATTGTGGATCATATTCAACCTATTTTTGAACACGACGGATATATTTCAAATTTCGTTGAAGTATCCCTTTAAAAAGAAATTTTTTTTTTTCTAAGAATACCTGCTCCGAAAGCCACTTTTGCTACTCCGAAACATTGTTTTGGCTGCTCCAAAAGCCACCTGTGCTGCTCCAAAACACTGTTTTCATTGCTCTAAAGGCCTCATTTGCTGCTCCTAAACATTGTTTTGGCTGCAAAAGGTGCTCCAAAATGGCTTAGGCCAATCACATCACTGCACATCGAATGCATGGCATGGCCTACGCCTTCTGTGTGAATATGTGAAATCGTGATCCACATGATCTGCATCAGCCATTGTTGCGCACTGTCTTTTTGCCTTCTTTCTCCCTTATTGCTTCCTTATTCCACAAGGAATAAAACGTTAAAATTTGTAGCCTGTCACCTGCTACGATGCAGTTCAATCTGAAACTTTCCTCCACATTTTGTCACCAGGGTCTATTCCACAAGCAAACTTTCTGCATATGATTTACGTCTCATCATCGCGTCGTGGTTTTCAGTATGTTTAGCCCCCTTGTTGTACATGAGTTAAAATTGTTTTTTAAAGCAAAAAGTCATCCCCATATGACGCTGTTTCACACCATTGCCCCTTGCTGCAAAATCAGGGCGGCTTGCGTGAAGAAGCACATGAGCAGTGGGGAGTGTGGTGTCAGAAAAAGAAACTATGATTAAGTTATTGAGCTGTTTTGCTGCTTAGGAAGGTACATGTCACAGGAAGGTACATGCGCAAAAAGTTTCAGCTTAAAAACTTCTTTTAAAAAAATATGTTTAAAAAGTCGCGAAAAAAAATGACTAAATATGAAAGAGTTGCACAAGAGGCCAAGTTTGTCATTTTATTTGACTTAAAATATAAGCTAAAATAAAATAAATCTAACTACTTCACATAGTCTATCTAGTTGGTGTGCTTTATACATCAAAGCGTATTTGTTGTAAAAGGTTGTATTTTTTTATTCCTATGGACCTCAAAGTTGCTTCAAAGTGCAATTGTGAAAATCGTTCTGTCTTGTCTCAGACGCAATTTTGTTTTGAAGGGTAGGTTGACATATGATTGAACTTTTTTTTTTACATTATCTCATCTTCACTTTATGTGTGCAACTTCAAACATTCCAGGCTGTTTTTGTTTCGTTGCTGCTTGCAGCTTACCAAGCTTCATTCAGAAACACTAAAGTATGTGCAAGTTATTCAAATAATTGTTTATGTTTTTTTTACTTTGGTTTAAAAAACATTTACGAATTATCAAATTTAACTAGATCCATGAAACCTTTGCCAGTGATTCCCCACAATGTGGGCTTTCTTCTGAACGAAAAGAACGAATAATTATATGTCTAATTTTTTCAAAATAAAGTTTTGTTCACCTGTGGTTCATTTTTGAAACTTCTTGTGAAGAGAAATAGACAGTAGAACCTCGTAATTCGAAGTCGGTCGGACTGCAAAATATTTGCAAAATAAGCAGATTCGCGAATTATTCAAAAACGAAAGAAAACGACTGAAGGTTGTGCGCGAAGCCTTGGAATCTCGAAGGAAACATTTTGTTCAATATGAGTAGTCAAAAAGAGAGAACATCACCCGAAGTAGTCGGCGATATGGGACTGCCACACTCGCTAATTAGCGGTGACGACCGTCACATTTTCAGGAAGGCTAAAGGCCTGCAGGATACTACAAAACTCACGACTCCGGCAAATCGTGCCGCGCTCCGCTTCCGGCCGTCGGGGGAAATTTTCCTCCGTCAAAGCTGCCGGGGGGAAGCTTCCCCCCGTCAAATCTCCCCCTCGCTTCCTCCACGGCGGCCTTGCTCTGCTCATCACAAAGGGTCCGGAGAGCTACTCACACACTTTGTTGGCTGTCGGTCAATCGCTCAAGGCCTCCGCCGTTTTTCTAAGTCCCGAAGACGGGAAAGGGAAGATTAGAGTGTGAGGGCGAGCACGCGTGAGGGCCAGGCGAGCGCACGTGGTATCCAAGGTCGTGTCATCTTCCAGCAGTTCTGTGGATTGGATTGGATACCCGCGGCTCTTGTTCCTAACGTACCTTGTATAGACAAACAAACCTGGTTGGTTTGGAGTTTAATAAAATAAATGATACATTCTTAAGTTCTCAGTGTTTCTACATACAACTAAAAGTTTCACTTGCGCACTGCACTTTATTTCTTTTTTTCGAACTACAAACGTGGATTTTGACTAAGAAAGCTGAGCCAGGGCGGCCGAAACGCATCCTTCGACGCAGGAATGTCCCAAATCCACCCGAAGCCGGACCTCCTTGGCCTTCGAGCCGAGGCGACGGCGCTACGCGAGCGCGTGGGCGAGGTGAGCCAGACGAAGGTGGCGTATGACGTCAAATCTGACGAGCATCGACGTCACAGAAAAGTGAAAGAGGCGAGGACAGCAGTCGTGATCGTAAAAATTTTCACGACTCCTGCAAACATTTTCACAACTCCGACAGATGGTAAAAATAGAAGCGTCCGCTTCAATTTTCACGATTTGTCGGAGTCGTGCGTTTTGTAGTGTCCTGTTTGGACACCCCTTAACTAGGAGCATCATCTCAGAATCACCGCCATTACATTCCACAAAGCTGCGGTCGACATTCAGCGACTGTATAACTTCCCCTAGAGTGGGGGCCTGAGGCGGCTCATTGTTGTCATCAATCTCTGCCGTCACACTCAGTGATTTCGCTCTCAATGTCCGCGTAGCAGGTTTGCTCATTCTCTTCTATGTTTAAGTTGTCTGTAAAAATTATGCCGACCGACTCACCGTCACTGTCCTAAATGCAGGAGCAAAGCTCCTCTCCCTCATCGTCAATCCCAGGGACAATACTGGCACTAACTAGCATTGGTGGTATCCTCGTGCTCCACGGCCAGGATTTGGCGAGCGACGAGACAAGTGACGGCGACCTGCTTCGCTGTTGCTCAGTCAATCTCGCAACGATTCAAACTGTGTGAAAGCGACGGGAGCGAGCGACCAAGGCAATGAGCAACGCGATGGGCGACAATGAGAAATCTCTGTCGCTTGTCGCTGACTCTCGCCGATGTCGCCGTTGCTCGTTCCGTCGCTCGCAAAACCGCTTACATGCGGTTCAGTAACAGCCCGAACCACAGCCCCACTGCAGCACGGCGCCAAGAATACCGAGACAGGAAATGCATCAGCAAAGATGCATGCCATCTTTTGTTTTTGCTGCCGAATCTGGATACTAACTGGCGCCACCTAGCAACTAAAAATTTAACGTGGAAGACCAAATCAGCAAATTAACCGGGTGGGCACGCGCGGAGCGCTCAGATTATCCAGTCATATTTTCATGAGAAGCCACAAGTGCGTGAAAGTTTTGTGAATTATCCGGGATTCCGAATAAACCGAGATAGAATTATCGAGGTTCTGCTGTATTAATAAAAAAAAAATTCTTCAGCAAAATACAATTTATGAGGTTCAGTAAATAAAGTAGGCATGTATAGTAATAACTGGCGAAAAAATCCCTCTGACAGGTCCACTTGTTTCAGAAACAATGTTTTTATTGTTAAATAAAAACTGAGTTTTCAAAATACCGCAATTGAAAGTTAGGTTGCTCATCGACATTCCTAAAACGCACCTGGCACACAGTCTTTGGCATCATTCCCTTTGCACTGCCTTGCTAAGCCTTTCTTGGCATTTTCCTTCTTTTCTTGCTTTCCAGAGAGGCCCAAAATTCTGCTTTGGGATTCGGGTGTTGTTCATCTGGTTCAGGGTCACGTCCCAGAACACACCTGGTGTTACACCAAGGGCGTCAATCGCTTTCGTTCATGCTTCGTTGCCATTGTAGAACACAATTGTGTCGTAGACAACAGGCTTCACTCCGGACGCTCTAGCAAATCTGGTTCTTGGACACCTACACTGGATCAAGTTGTTTAGCGGCTCATTTGCGTTGTGCATGCGTCCATGAGACGTTCATGAAACATCCGTGCGTCCATGGCATGTACAGATTATTTATACAATATGTTTTATCAATCTTGCACAGAGAAAAACCAAACTCAACAAGATTTGTTGCTTTTTTACGTTTTGAGAGCAAAAAAAAAAAAGCAATGCAAACAGTCTCTCCATAAAGTTGGGCAGATTCTAAAGAGCAGGTAGGTGTAGTAGGCACAATTATTATGTCTTCTAGCAATCACTTGAACATGTTCTTTGGAGGACAGGTTCTGCAAGAACCCTGTTATCTCTAGATAAAAATAAAAAAAATCACCTTTTGATTTTACTTACCATGCTCCCTTAACGAAACAAAAAAGTTTCTTTGAAAAGTAAGGTCCATTCCATTGTATGGACATTTTCTAGTACCTCATATAAGAGTTTCATTAAAAACAAAAGATAGGCCTTACACCGCTATGGCCATCCTTATCTGAACACACCCTTGATACTCCCATACAAATGTGAACACAAAAATGTGAATTTTTCAGCAAAATGTCCGGCTGTTGTAGGAAGTTTGTGTGATTTCTGTTTTCGATGTGTTGATATAGGACAGTTATGTGACTGCTTCAATAATTTCAGGGAGAAGTACATCTACCTAAGTAGTCGAAGTTCTCTTGCTGTGAACAGCAACTACTACTGCTTTGACCAGAGTTACTATCATCCATCAGACATCCAGTCTTCTAGGTGAGATTTCACCCTTGTTGCAGCTGCCTACCAGTGCCTTTTATTCTCAGCTTTCAGTAAACTCGAGAATCGATATGAGTTACCACTTTTAAAATTTTCTTACACGTGCAGGACTGCAGTCATCATTCACAACTGTCTAGTCTTCAAGCGCCTGATTGACCGAGAAGAACTACAGCCATTGGTTCTTCGTGGTACAGTTCCCATCTGCATGTCACAGTACGAGCGACTTTTTTCTACCACAAGGTACGACTTTCGTTGTCCTTTGCTGCATTGTTTTGTGTTAGAATGTTTCTTTAAGATTTTATGTGCAGTGCCATAAGAAGATTTTCATTTTACTTTTTCCTCCTTCATTGAACATCTGTCTAGTTTTAAAGCGAATAGTCTGGTCCTTCTGAATGAACTGTTCCTAGTTTGCTTCTAAGGTGCTGTTCTTTTCCTTTCGTTGTCCGGAAAATTATAGAGTTCCTGGCATAGATGTTGACGAGATCTGCCATTTCTGCACAAGTGAATCGAAAGTGAGTAGTAGATGGACAGAAAGTTCTCTTTCCTTTCTCCTTGCACTTGTTTCTCCCGCCGATTGAGCTCTAACGCCGAATTTAAACATAATTGCAGCATGTCATCCTGCAACACAAGGGCATGTTCTACAAGCTGGAAGTCTATGATTCAACAAATCAGATACTCTTCCCTACAACCCTCGAACACCAGATTGAATGGATCATGAAGGATGCCGAGCAGCACACCCGTAAGTAATAATTTTGTGTACATGCTTCGTTCCTTCTCCTTAGTCTCTGCTCATGCTGAGTCCAATCCATACTTGAAGGAACATAAAACTCCAAAAAAGCTTTTCTTGTCAAGTGCCAAGTGCCTGGATGGATAAGGCACATATATGGTATGTTCCAACTCCCCCCCCTCCCCTCCCCCCCCCAAAAACAAAAAAAACTAGAGGGTGTTGTATCTTGCCAAGCCACTACAGCTTCTTAAGGTCACCTCGCGTCAACAAGCGAAAGCCTCCCAAGGGGTGTGCCTCTGGAATGTCAAGTCTTGAATGGGAGGCCATTGTCTGTGGGCGCCATCCTGTGCCGTGTTTTGCTGACGTAGGCCTAGAACAACGAAGGCAGTGGCAGTGCTTCCTGGCTAGGTGGGTCTAGAGCACGAATGGGTCGTTAAAATGAGTCATTTTTCGGCGGGAAGACTGCACGCCGGAAATTGAGTTGAAAGGTTTCGAGCGAGAGGAGCAACAAAGGGCCACTGAGATCAGCTCTGCTGTTACGGCAGAGGCTTTTCTGCTCATTCGGGAGACTATCTTATGGCTCCCGAGGAAATCGTCCCACCCATTGAAAATCAGCCAGTGACGTGGCCCCTCGACAAGCCGCTCATGGCAGACGATGCAGCGGACGTCGACGGAGCCTAATGCGGTTCTTTTTGAGTGAGACAGTGCCATGGGGTGAAGCGAACGCCGCTGGACGTTTGCTGGACCTGCATTGGCTGCCAAGCTTCTTTTCAAAATCTCTACCTGGGGAACGAGGGACAAGTGGACCCTATATAAGGAGCGGATTGCTTATTTACCGTAATGAATGTGTGCTCTTCTGAAGTTAATTTGGATTAATTGGTTTGTCTGGATATTTAAGACACCCGGCTCTTCATTACTGCCGAGACCGCCTGTCCTTGTCCTGCCCTCAGCCACGATGCTCGTGTCAAGTCCGCCACGGGAACTACCGTTCGGTCCCAACAGTACAGACTCTGCAGCATGTATTTGGAGGCCGAGTTTTTGCCAAACTTAAAGTGCACTGGAGTGACAATGAAGCTCAACAGACGGCACAGGGAAGCAGCAGAAAGGGCTAGGAGGAGGCTGGATGCTTGGTGGCAAAAGAAGCAAAAAAAGTGAAAAGTATATATTTTTATACTCTTGGCTAGATCGAACTTGATTTAAAACTGGCTGATTCGAGGGAGCAGTCACAATATCGTCCTCATCGGCAGCATCATTATGTTTATTCCATATGATTCCTAGATTGCACCAGCCACCACCCAAAACACTCATTTTCGCCTACACGACGAATGGAACAAGAATATTGAACTTGTGAATAGTAGTGTTTTTTTTTTTTTAATATATCCAAGCTTTTTTTGTTGTTAGCTTACATATTTTGAGCCACATGTTATACACTCTGTTCACCCTAAGGCTGAGACTGCAGCTATTGCCATAAGCACGAGAGCTCGAAATCGCTGCTTTGAAGTGTTCTTCCGCAGAATGAGTGCTCGCGCTAGAAATGCTTGTCTCAAAGCCAGGAGTGCGGGCTGGTTCCTGCTTGTAGCTTTGGCACCAGTCTCAACTTAAGGGTGAATGCAGAAGTAGAACTCCCCTTGAAGCCAGAGGCATGACCAACCAAACGTCACATTTTCTTCGTGAAATAGAATAATTCGGTATATTAGTGTTTGTTATAATGAGGTTAAACTGTATCACAATTACACTTAACTGGAGCAAATGCTGAGCATGCTCTAGATATATTGCTGTCTCTTACCATGTGCTTATGCATCATTTCCTGCTAATGTCAAGTTATTTGTCCTCTTCATGTCTTATTAGAACTGTTCTATGCTATACCTTTGACTCAGTGCTTTGTCCAGTGCTGTCCTGGTTTACCGTAAAATACCGGGCAAGCGCCCACTCAAAATTTAGAGATAATCGCGAAAAAATGGGCGATGGGCACTTCTCCAGTCATCAATTTTACATATCAATGTACTGTGCATATTTTCTCAGATCTTACAAATTTGGGTATGGGCACTTGGTGTGGTATGGGCAGATGCACAGTATTCTGTGGTAGGTTGTTTTTTTATTAAAATTCTCTCCTATGCTCCACTCAAATATGATCATATACATACATTTGCAAGTGATATGATAAAAGCCAAGCAAGCTCGGGTTTTTGGAAGCTTCTACACCATCTAATAGAAGAAAGTTGATCTATTACCAGGCGTGGTGCATATATGCAACATTTCGGCTGCTGTTGGGTTTTGTCATTACCCCCTGCTCCACCAGTCGGCTGATAATGAGTCAATGCTGATTTCTGTGCTGCCTTAAAGGGGCGGGGCAACAATATTCACTTGGGATGTTTTTCACTTTAGACAGGTCCACTGGCACTAGTGGGACCCAAGTATACTTGCACACAATGCCATTGACCAATAAACCTTTTCATTGCTATGTAATTTCAAGGATAGAAGCGAGCATTTTCTTTCAGTCTCTCCTTCTCAAAACTTGGTGACATAGCGTGTGGGTTGCATTGTCAGCATAGTCCCCTAGTGACGATATTTGAATGTGGCTCATAGATTGAATGCGAGCATGAGCATTGTGTGAGCACTCAATTCGGGCTCATGATAATCAATAGCTCGACAAGCATTCGGGTAGTTTCTCATATCCAGTTGCGGAAATAACGACAAGAGCTGAACCCTAACGATTTCTGGAACTCAGTGCATGTCCTGTGCTTTGCCATCCTTAGAGCGTGGCTTTTGATCAACATTGTCGGCATATAATTGGCTCCAGATGACGTATAGCCACTTGTTCTGGCTGCGAGTTGAGGAGGTGAACACTGCTAGTTTTTCTTTAATTTTTTTCTGCAACGTTTATTGCATGGGGAAAAAACGAATGCATGTTTCCCTGGTTATAAACATCAGGGATTCTTTCCAAGTGATATTCGCACCATCCCTTTAAGGTTGTGCGCGGCATTCATGATATGCCTGCCACACGGGTTCTGATAACAAAAACAAAACAGCTGCTGAAATGTCGCTTATGCACAAAATGCCCAGTCATAGCTAAGCTTTCTTCTGGTAGCACTGGAGTCCTCTCGAGCCATGTGCTCGCTGAGCCTTTATTCTATACCTTGCATACATTTACTTGCACATATTTATAACCTTTGTAACTTGCACACATTTACAACAATTAGCACATGTACGGTTACAACCAATTAAATACTTTTTTTATTTTCAAAGTTACATTGCCATTGTAAATTTCTTCCATTTATCTGCACGTGTCTCGACATTGAAAATTTTATCTCCCTGCAATTTTTTTTAATTCTTCATGTTTTGAGTGATTTGCGTCGCTTTCTAACCTTTCTATACTTAGCCACGGAAGCTGAGACATCTCTGGCAGCCCTGACATCTCTTGACAGGCCGACCTGGGCTCGTATCAGGAACAAGTACTTCCTCGCTGGCGTCAACAAGGAAAGCCTGGATGCCATTGAGAAAGCCACATTTTTTGTGAGTGACCTCTTTCTACAATATTCTCGTACGCGCCTGATGCGGTCCGGCGGGTTTAGCGTATCAGGTGTTTCAGCGGGCCACACAAATGATTCATACGGTGGAGTTGGTGGCAGTGTTAATCGAGAAGGTTTTTTTCTTTCTTGTGTTTTCATACTCGGGTCTTTAAAAGCAGTTTGGAATTACAGAAAGGAAGATTAACTTATCAAGCAGAGTGTGGGCCGCCAGTGTAATCCGCTGATTCGGTGCCGTCCTAATTTTCAAGAGTGAATCGGATGATTTGATGCATAATTAAAATCTAGAAATCCTTACACGAAAGCAGGCAGGAAAGAAGCCATCTGAACTGGAGCAGAATCTTGCTGGAAGATGCATAGCCACCCCTAGGCCGCATCCCCAATCCGAGGTTTTACCACTGTGTCCAGTCCCTCAACGTAAACAGTGGTGTTGATTTGAAAACCTCGAGGGAAGAAATTGGGGGGCATGACATGTTTCTCGTTGCTCACAATTCTCAAGATCATCGCACATGATGGAACCTTGAATCCAAGGTTTGACCACTGTGTCCAGTCCCTCAACGTGAACAAAGGTGTTGATTCGAAAGCCTCGAGGGAAGAAATTGGGGAGCATGACATGTTTCTCGTTGCTCACAATTCTCAAGATCATCGCACATGATGGAACCTTGATACGCATAACAGTTGGGACCTCCGGGGGGCTAGAACAGAGCCACCTGTCATCTCTCCAGTTCACCATTTGATCTTGGACAAAGTTCTTCTCGTTCAAAAGCAAAACAATGCCTATCATGCTCCTTAGGGTGCTTAGGTTTGTCAAGCAGGCTCATAAAATGGATAAGAGGATTTTGTAGTGTCTTGTCAGCCAGAAACTGCCCTCTTCTCGTGACGCAAGACTTTCGCGGAATGTCTTTGTGACCCACATGCCAGATAGTACACTCGTCAATTTTAAGTTGCCTCGATTGACGTGCTGGGGTCACCACTGACAGTCTTCTGGACCCGATCAACAAAGTCGGCTGTCCTGATAGTATTCAATCATTGAGAATGCTTCTTCTTTTTTTTTTGGCCGCTGATGACATGTGTTTTTCTGAGCCGAGCAGCTCTTTTCTGAAAGGTGGCAGTCTCCGAGTCACCGTGGTCGGCAGCAAGTGCGACAAGCACATTGTGCCTTTACATTTTTTGTTTCAGGCTGAAGGTGACCACCTTGACTGGAATGCGAGGTAGATGACATGTACACGCTGTTAAATCGTTGCCAATAGTTATAGATAAATGTAGTTATCACCCGCACATTTATGACGCCCCAAAACTGTGTTCTTAAATACTGGCCGCACACTCTATAGTGTCTCTTGAAGATAATTGATGTGCTCAAGGACTGAAATCAGCATCTGAGTAGTCATACCAACAAGTACATCTGTCGATGCAATCACATGTGTATCTCTAGTTTGCCAAACACTTTAGATTTGAGTTCAGTGGTGAGATTAATCACATACGTCTTAGTCCGAAATTAGAGTTTGTACTCGTGCGGGCGATATTTAGCAGCCCGTTCCCCCATGCACTTTGTCAAATAATGTCTGGTATGTCTCCTTTTTGAATACAGTGCTGCTGAATTTCCACTTTAAGGGCAACTCCGGTCCATACTTTCGATTTTGGGATTATGACTGCTTTTAGTGCAGTCAGCGTCCTTGAATTGCAAGGTGTAATTTTTTTCTCGTTATTGTGCGTAGTTTTAAAGATATCGACGCCTGAAAGTTTTGTTTGGGGCGCGGCCAACAAAACCAAAACTAGCTGCTCGAGGCCTCGGCAACACTGAAAATCAGCCGCTACGTGAACGTGACGTCACAATTGTTCTCGTTTAACGAGTACGCAGGCCGAGCGCCACCTACCTCTGTTGCGCTAGCCGTCTAAAGATAGGAGGTAAGCTGATTTTGTTTTAATGTGGTAGTTATCGACCATATGTAGCAAGAGTTAGTGCGTATAACCAAAATCTAGCGACTGGAAAACCCGTGAACTCGTTCGGTGCCGTACTCGGCGGCCACCGCCGTGTGTGCGCTATGCCGTACTCGTCACTTGTATACCCAAAAGCTAGCGACTGGAAAACAAGTGAATTCGTTCGGTGCCGCACTCGGCGGCTGTCGCCGTGTGTGTGGTTTTCCGTACTCGTCGCTAGGCCTAAATTGTCATCTGGGCTCCGTGGATAGAGCGGCGTTGCTTTACGCCGCGCTGCCAGTGACGTACAGTACTGGGGGCCCTCTCGCTTTCGCGCTGCGGGTCAGTCCCAGACACGAAGGTTTGAGGCTCCGGCACAGGCCGCGGTGCCCGAACACATGTGTGCTGGGCTGAACACTACTCCTTTTCGTTCTTTCTTCCTCGGGTGCGTAAAAGCCGAAGTCCAAAGTCCACTCGTCGAACAGCGTTCACCCACACCTTCTCCGATTTCCGGTCCGTCGGACATATGTGAAAAAGCACCTCCGTGTTGCGCAGAGTGTTGTTTGAGCAGCCCACAGCGCCACAAGTTGCACTCGGCATCTTTCGAGGAGCAGCTCGGCAGTCTTGGGCGCACCGAGTTGCTCGCTAAAACGAGTCTTAAAGTCCTCACAAGCAAATAAACAAAAGGATATACCGAAGCTACACGGGCTACAGATAAAAGCAACGGCTAAACACGCCAATCACAAGCCGAAGTAGCGGTGGTAGCGGCTCCAAGAAGCGCACTCCGCGCAACGCCCGCACCGGAGGAACAAAAGAGAATGATACGGACGTCACGGCCCAATGTTGCTTTAGCGATCGGCAACCCGCTGGCCACCCGCTAAGGAGCAGCGGCTCGCGGCGGGTCGCATTTTTGTTATCGGTATTAGTTGAGAATGCGGCGTCCTACGGTCGTAATATTTTGGCCGGAGTCGTATTTTGTGTCACTACAGCGATACCAGTAATTTATTTCATTTTGAGTTTTGGCCGGAGTTGCCCTTTAAGCTTCCTGGCATCGTATGACACAAAGGGCCTAAATAAAAATTTAACTTGACCCATCATTTTCATTGCTTGACTTAGCCAAAGAATGGTTTGGCTTTAAATTTATTGAGTGCTGTTTCAAAAGCTGCTAAGAACTACGGTCGGTGACAGCTTGGTTAAGAGTTCAGGGGGAGCTGCCCCCCTATCTTTCCACTTTAGCAAAGCAAACACTGGAGAAAAGGTCACCTCCTCTCGAGCATTAGCTCTGCTAAAGTGGAAAGAGTTGGGGGAGCTTCCCCTGAACACTTCATCTGTCACCGACTATAGTTTGGTACATATGCCGTGCCTGCAGAGCTACGAAAGTTGTTAGCACAGAACAGTTTGTATTAGAAAGCATTCACTTGAGATACTTGTTGCATTTTTTGTTAACGAGTGTGGGGGCAAACTGCACTTGCTGGAAAAGCAATGATTTGTGCATTGTAAGGCTTGCTAACCTTTGGCGACTACAGTAGGCTCGCAGTAATTCAAACTGATAATTCATACTACTACTTAATTCAGCCAAATTTGAAATTTTTGGTTGTTGTCTTTAATGTATTTATAAGCCGCTTGATTTGAACAGCGTTTTCGCGCAATTCTTACTTTTTGTTTCCACGGCCCCACTGAGCACATTCCTTTCCATGCTCCGCTGCACTGCGAAGAAGAAATAAAACACTTGGAATGCATCCTTACCTAGAAATAGTGATTGTAAGATATATAAGTTAAGCACATTGCCCCCGCCAGGGGAATATTTGTGGCTAATGGTTGGTCACAAGAGCTGTCAATCAACATGCCCAAGGTCATTGAAACAGTTTCGGCCAATGAGGTGCCCTTACTTTCACTCTATTCTTCCCAAATAATGACCAAACTATCTACATATACGGCTCTGAAGTAGAAGACACACGAGCAATGAAAATGAGCACTGTGCAGTAGTTTTCATGGCAGTTAGTGCGGATGCTGTGACGTGGCGGCATATGGCATAGGTGCACATCAGAGTGTCCACGCAAGTTGCTATGGGAGCTGCCGCAGGGTGCCCATTTTTATCGCTTATCTGTCCCCTCTTTATTAGTCTACAACAGACAACGTTTTTGCTGGATGAACAAACTTAATTTTGTTTTATGGTGTCATGTGCTATCTAAACAGTCCCCATTACACAACATTCTTGAGGGATGAATAAAATTGACATACGTTTCTCCAGTGTTTCATGTGTGGCACACCTGCTTACGATTAGCAGTCCTGTATAAAGGAAATCATAACATATCTAATTTGTTTGTGTAGCCCTTCAATAGCAAATCACAGTTTCATCCCGCATCATATTTAGATGAATTTCTGATAATTTCAGTGGCGGAACTGTTGCACCACTTGTGCCAAACTGTGCCAGAATGAATAACCTGCTACATGCTTTGTGCACAATTCGTGCTGTGTCTGCGCCAAAAGGGAGCTCTTCTCAAAAAGGAAATGGAAAGTGTCTGGCACATGGCATTCTTGGCAGTGCCACTAAAAATTAAGAAAGCACATTATGAGGTATACTGCTCTGTGAAGTTAAACTGAACACATAAACACGTAAACTATGAGACGATATGGTAGACAGATAAAAACATGGCATACAGTAAAACCTCGTTATAACAAAGTTGAAGGAGCGGTCGTAATTATTTTGTTATAACCATTAGTTTGTTATATCCCATTTTGTTATAACGAGGTTTTACTGTACTTGTAGAAGCGCAGAGTAACAACTGTTTATTTTTTGTTTCTTCTTCCTCCTTTATATCCTTGTTTTGAAGGGTGAAGATTGCCTGATAATTCTCAGAGTTAAAAGCTAATGTCATTGCAGGCAATTCTGGACACGGGTGTTTTAGGAAACGGAGAATTGCTGGAGTTTTAGATGATGCATATGTGCCTGAGAAATCGTGGAAACGACTGGGGTGATTAATATTGTCTCATATTTTACGTGTTCACTGTAACTTTGCAGGAGGGATAATGTCAGCCTGAATCGAAACATTGTTAAGAAAGTACAGTTTTTTTTGTTTTTTTTTCAGATGCCCAAGTGCTTTGTGCAAAAAGTAGGGATGTGCGAATATTTTAATTATCGAATATTAGTTTCAAATTATATGCTATTTCATATTCGCTTCGAAATTAACTGCGATACTCATACTTTATGAAGTGTTGATCGTGGCAGGCTAGCCCCCTTGAGTGTGCTCTTTTCAAGCACCAGTGCACCACAGATATGCAATACCTGCAGAGCTGACATTGCGATCTCGCGACCCGATTCGCCACAGCAGAACCGTGCACTTAGGCAAAAAATGCACCTTCAAAGTGGTATGGTGCGTGCAGGTGCCTTGTGTATTAAAAAAAAAAAAAAAAAAAGGAGGAAAACAAAATTCCGGGAAACATTGTGTTACTGATTGCAGTAAAATCTTCAAAATTTAACTGTTGCTATGACGCAAAGGTGCGTGTTAGGCAGCGATATTTTAACAACCTATGTTTATTACTTGTGCTTGTTTTTTTTTTTTTAATTCAGAATTGAAGAAAGTATTTTCATATAGCAAGAAGATTTATAAATCCCCTTAATTACGTATTGCTGGGCACGTTTATATGTATAATTCTATGTCAAATCTCTAATTTCCTGGCTATCCCAATGTAGGTATTGAACTTTCTGAGGCCGCAGTCTATAATTATGGCTAGATAAATTTAACAGAGCTCATAAGTGGGTAGCTAGTAAAAGCTTGGGAACAACCTTTGTGAGTTCAGCTGAATTTTCATTTAAGCATAATGTAACAGGACTGAAAGGCGTGGAGAAATGCACAGCAGCTATTCAATATTCGTTTAAAAAATATTCGGCCAAAAACACTATTCACTTTGAATCTGCTTCGAGCCCAACATTCATTATTTGCACATGCCTAACGAAGAGTTGTTGGTTTTTGTGTGAACGGGTGCTCACATTGATTGCAATGAATAGCTAGCACTACTCGTGATAAGTTAGAGTAGCTATGTGCTCTGCTTAGCTGCTCTATGAATAGCAGCAGGTTGAATACGAGCAAGCGCAGAGTGAGACACGTTCAACACAAAAGTGTCCATTCACTGTCGAACTCGTGACAATTAAGTTGCCGTGAGGCAAACCCTACAAAGTAGCCAAAAACATCTTACCAAGGACACCATCGATATACTCCAAATAGGTTAATTGAGACATCTGCAAAATTACCTGCATATGATTGTTCAATAAAATATTGATATCTGTAGCGACCAGGTATCCTGTAGGTATGAAACTTTAAATAGTCTTCGAATACACAAACAACTGCAGTTCTTTTTCCATAGGCTAACTTTCAAAAAGATAGTATAAAATTTTCTGACATGAAAGCTCAAAATTATCTGCTTCAAAAGTGAAAATCTCTGCTCCAAAACCTGTTTTTCTCTGCTACAAGAGCTGCTCCAAATCCCCACTTGTCTGTTTCACCACTGGAATTCAAACTTTTGATAGTTCAAACGAAATTTGTGGTTTCCTGGAGTCGGAATGAATGAGAATCTATACTGTATTATCAAGAGCCTCTCATTTGTGTTAATGTGTGTGCTAAAAGCTACAACCTTGTCATTGTGCTTTAGCAAGCCTCTCTCCCTCAGAAGCTTCTTTCCAAACTTGCAGGTGAGCATGAACGACCTCGAGCCGTCAGGGCTCAACGAGAGGGGCAAGTACCTGCTGCATGGCGACGGGAAAAGCATCTGGTTCGACAAGTCGCTCAATGTCCAGGTCTTCAAGAATGCGCATGCGGGCATGAACTGTGAGCACAGCATGGCCGACGCCCCTGCCATGGCGCACATGTGGGAGTACGCTCTCACCAGGGAGTGAGCACATGTTTTTCCTTTCCCACTTGCCTTACTCTTTGTTGTGGGGTTTTGCTAGCTACCAACACAGGTACCGATAGAGTAACCAAAGGGTTGTCTCAACAGCGGCGATATCTCAAAGGAGACGTCAATCCTAGTAGCGCGGTCCCCACATCTCTGCGGCGATATATATGACGTTTAGGGCTACATCACCGCGGGTTGGTTCGATTAATTACCTCCGTCGGTGCCAATGATCGTCTACCTTGTTTCACTCTCTCGAATATAGCGGAAGAGAAGACACACGTACCAGAGTAAGGACAGAGTCCAAGAGCATTTATTAGAACACTCTTAAAATGAACTACTAAGTCCCCATCCAAAATGCCCCCCGCGCTGGCAAGGTAAGAAAAGGTCCTTACCTGGCCAGACGCGGGGTTCCGGAGAGCCAAGACGGGGGAAGCATCGGAGAAGTCGCCGACACATGTCCTATCTCTTTCGCGGTCACCCGGACGAGTGCCTTTCCCGAAAGCGGGAAGATAAGAGGCGAAACCTTCTCGCTTCTCAGCAGTGATCCGCATCTGAGCGGGGGAATGGAAATCGGTCCCCCTGAGAGAGAGTGAGAGGAGGGTCCCCCAAGCCAGGCGGCCCTCCACCTCACGAACAGGTCGGAGCTCAGGGCGAAGGAGGCCGAGTGTTCCGACCCGCGGCCGTTATCACAGCCGTCGGGGAAGGGAGACCAGAGGAATCCCCACATTGTTCAAAGCTGCAAGGTTTGCAAATTAAATCTTTTGTTTAGTTCCTTGTTACAATTTTAACCCCTGGCAGTATGTATGCTGGAGGCATCTTCCAATTGGAAATATTTTGAAATGATCTCAACCATGGTAAAAAATTATACACTAAAAGTAAACATATTTCACACTTCTGAGCCAGAAATTATTCTTGGGGGGTGTTTCACGGTGCTGGTGCAACCACACACACAATAAAAAAAAAAAAGGAATATATATATATATATTAGAGAGAGAGAGAACAAAATAAAATTTCGGGGGGTATTCTGACTCCTGAACACCCCCCCTGGCTACGCGCCTGCTTCTGAGAAACATTTACTAAAGTATACTTAAAGTAGTAATATCTTTAGCTGACTAATAGTATAATAAAGATATACATACTTTTAGTGCGTACACCTTAGTTGCCAAATGGGGTCAATGCATGGACTGCACTGCTGCAATATTAAGTAAACTAAGAATGCATTAAAGAAGAACTAAAACATATTAAAAGTATAATGGGAGTATCTAAAGTATGTTAAAAATATAGTTTAAGTATACTTTTTGCTCTAAACAAGCACAAAACTAGCATAGCTTTTGTACAGTAAAAGCTTGTTACATCAAATTGCATCGGGATGTTAAAAAAAATTGAATTAAACGAAATTCGAATTAACAAAAAACCAAAGAAAAAAACGTTGCTCCTGCCCAGGAAACGCTTGGAACGGCAAACCTTTATTGTTAAAAGTATTCAGTTATCATCTTCTACTTTGCTTGGAAAGTTATGGTCATCAGCTTATGTTCGAGGAAACGAACCAAGTGCAAGGCATTTTCTTCGCCCTCTTCAAAGCTAAAGAAAAGAAACGCGATGTTGAGTGCACTCATGACCTCTGGCACGATGGCCAAATTGGAGTTTTCTCCACTTCTTCCCCCTCCTCGTCGACGTCGTTCTCCGCTTCCGCGGCGAGTTCACCAACTATGTGGGCGATGATGTCTTTGTGCGTCATAGCACCACAGATGACTGCGCTACGTCTGCATTGACGTAATAGGCAACACTTGCATCCTGCAGCAGATCACGCATGCTCTCAAAAACTACCACACGCTCCGGTGTCGCCGCCAGTTGCCTCTGTACCCAAGGCATTAAAACCACAGTGACGGAAAGAGTTTGCAAATGACTTCACCCCATGCGCGGACCAGTATGTGCATGGCGCTGAGGAGCGTCACGTTATAAGTCTGGTCCCTTTTGGCCACACAAAGAATCGTTTGTTTCAGCATGTGATGTCTGTAGAAGGACTTGATGTTCTTGATCACACCCTGGTCCATCAGCTGGAGTGCTGCAGTCGTGTTTGGTGAAGGAAACACTAGTTTAATTGCCTTCAGCCCCTCATGGACCTTGTGCGCTGAGCAGTTGTTTACGATGCGCGGGACCTGTCGGTTGCTCACTAACTTCCTGTCCAGCCTCCTAAGCCACTTCTTGAACAGCTTGCCAGCCATCCACGCCTTCCTGTTGGCAGTGTGCGAATGTTTTTAAAACACTGAGGCTTCGACTTTCCTATTTCGAGCAGGGAAGCTTCTCTGTTCCAGTCATGTTTGCCGCGACCAGGACGGTGACATGCTCTTTATTTCGCTTCCCACCTGCGCAGTTGTCTCTCTTGATAATTTTGTCCTGCAAGAGCTTGAAAAATTGAGCGGTCTCATCCGCGTTGAAGATGTCACGCGGCAAGTAGCTATCCAAGTAGCGCTGCAGGGCTTCATTTCGCCACATCAAGCGAGTTTCCATGCTCACGTCTTTACCTTCACCATACACAGTACGGAAGGCGAGGTTGTGCCTCTGACGGAAGCGATGAAACCATCCCTCAGACGCAGTGAAGTCGTCATGTTTCACTTGTGGTGCAAACTTGCCTGCCATTGCCATGGTGATGAGGCCTCTGAGAGGAAGATCTTGGCTTCTCATGTCTTCAACCCACGTGATAAGCGCCTTCTCGAAATCTGGGTGTTTGGCAGGGTGAAGTCTTTTTCTGTCCTGGGCAAAAATTTCAGCTTCATAGGCGTCCTCGATTGTCTTCCTATTGCGGATGTATGTAGACAACGTGCTCCTCGGGATCTCGTGCTTCTTGGCTATCTCGACCTTGCTCGCTTTTCCTGTGTCTACTTCACGCAAAATCTCCACTTTCTCTCCGAGTGTTTTGGCGCAATACTTTCCTTGGGCCAGTGCACCCGATGACAACATTCTGGTCCGAATGCGCGTTGCCTGGTCCTATGGCCAACACCACTAGCCAACTCACAAGCAGAAATAAAACAATCGGCAATCGTGCGACGGTGGCAATAGCTCAACACAGTGGGACCGGCTCAACGAAGCATGGAAGCAAAACTGGTAAAGCAAAGGAGAAGGAAGGGAGGCTGGAAGCTTCAAAAAACGCTACAGAAACCCTCTTGAACTCTTGGCAACGTTGTTCCAAATATCCGTGTGCGCATTCCTATTGGCCCACAGTAGATACCAATGACGCTCGTGCGTTTCCGGCAACGCTCTTGTTGCGTTTAGCAACGCGGCACCTGCCGTTTCACCGAGCACTTGACTGGGAAAGCTCCACACATGGCGGCGTGCAGTTTGAATAATTGGTGCTGGAAAATGATTTGAGAGTGAATTAACGGGTTATTTTACATATGTACCTCTATGCAGCGTGACCGGACTATGGCGATTGGTTCGAATTATCCAAAAGGTTGAAATAATGAGTTGTGAATTAACGAGCTTTCACTGTATTAACTTTTTACTTAGGGTAGTTAGGTGGCTGTGTCTTTGTGGAAGGAAGGCCTCCTTTAGGAATTGTAAGTTTCTTTAATTCTAATGGCACTCTTCCTCCATTGAAAAATCTTTTATAGTTTTTATTTGAACTTGTTTTGTTTGGCACTGCTATTCTAATATTTATTGTTCGCCAAGCACCCTGCAGTGTCAAAGCGAGTATACCTTGCAGTTTTAGAACAGAAGAAGGTGTTGAGCACAACACAAAATAATTGAAGCATACATAGGACACCAGTCTATGCATAGAAAGGACGCTTAAATATAATTTGATGCTTCTTTTGCTATTAGTGGTATAGTGTATGTTTGCTTAATCAAACGAATGACACTGGACAGGTTATCCACCATAAGAGGCTATATCAACTATCATCAGCCAGGAATGCAGTGAAAGCTATGGCAGTCATTATTTTATATACACAGTCATTCCATATTCACAGTCATCATTTCATATGCTATTCAAGAGCCCGAAGTGCACTTTTCCCGATACATTGCCCAGGGCAGTCTTACCTTGTGTTCTCATGTCGCCATTTGTTTCACATAAGCTTTTTTTTATCAGAGCTACCTATCCTAAACTGCAAGCATATTTTATACCTGCATGTCCAGGGCATAATGGGGTTGCACGTAATACCCTGTCTTTTGCAAGGAAAAAGGGAATGCAGAGCACAGGTTCATCTGCTTCTTGTTGAAGGGTCGCGATGATGTCAGAACGGCGAGCTCTTATTGGCCAATCGAAAGAAATAGTGGGTAGACCTCAAGGCATCTAGCATTGATGTCTACCGTCTATCCTTTCAATCAAAGCCAATCAGAACTCGGCATTGTACTGACGTCACCGCAACCCGTGCGCAAGAAGCAGATGACTTGCTCTTCGCATATGTTAGTTTGATGGTAGTGATGCATCCATACCTCCTTCTTTGTTGTAGGGTTCTGGAGAAAGTGTATGACGAGTCTGGCCGTTGCATGCCGCCCGGCAAGAAGCTCAAGCAGGGCTCGATCCGGAGGCCCCAGCGGCTGGTCTGGGATATTTCGCCAGAGCTCGAGGGGGAGATTGCCGGTGCACTTGCTAATGCACAAAAGGTAAACCTCACTGATTCTTTGAAAATTAGACTACCGTAATGTCCCCCAAGGGTGCTCTCACCCGAGAGGTCGCTCATATAGTTTTTCTGGCTAAATATTAGTAACGTAAAAATTCTGATACATTGCCCAGCCCCGATTCCGTCTGACATTGCGCGATGTCCAAAGGGAATGGCATCAACTGCGAAATCTGCAGTACCAGTATCCGTGACAAGTGAGTTCAGAGCGGAAGCGAGTTCAGGGCGGGTTCCTGCGTTTTTGTCCACGATCTGTGCATGCGTCATAGGTTCATGTGACATGCGAGTTTGTAGCAAGTTCCCATGTTTTTTGTCCACGATCTGCGCTCGCGGTATCACTTCCCCGTAGCACGTAAGTTGGCAGCTGGTCTCAGCATGTTAATCGCGCCGTGAAACACGAATCTGCTGCATCCGCATTCTGTGGTACCCTTTCCCATAACATTGGAGTTTGTAGCGAATTTCTGCGTGTTTACCGAGTTGTGAAACACGAAGTTGCCTTGTCCCTGCAATCTGCAGTATCAGATACGTGTCACGTGGTTTGTAGCGGTTGCCACTGTGTTTAGCATTAATTTCTGAAAAAGTTTTGCTGTCTCATTCTCTAAGGTAGCCCCCCCCATGTTTTCCCCAATTTATCTTTTCATTTTGGGTGGGTGCCCTTGCGGAATTTTGGGGTAAAAATATCTTCGTAGAAAAATTTACTTTTTTTTTACTAGCAATCTTCTAAAACTCTTGTGGAAGTGAAGCTGTGCCTTCAAAATATCCCTTCAATCGTTTGCTGGGACATCTTGTAGACTTAGTTATGTCAAGAAGTTTAGGCAGAACATTTTTTTTATTGAATAAAATTGAGTGTGAGGGTTTTTAAGGAATAGGCATGATTGCTTCAAGAGTGGTCTAAATCTGGTCATACATTGAACTACAGCTAGCCCTTAAATTGTCTACAAAAACTAAATTTTCATGCTCCTAGCCTTTTTCAACAATTTTAAAAGCAGTCCTTCTTTCTCCTCTATTATGTGGAAGAGGCAGTGACGTCGTGTAGTAGTATGATTGTAGCATGACCTTTAATTTGATACTGGCAGATTTCAACTCTACCACATTGATAAGTTTCGTTCCGTTTGTGCTATGCCACATACTGCTCTTACATGGAACTCTCTTCAATGCTACTTGCACTTTTGGAAATCTTTTTTTTTCTGCTGTAATGCCATTTCTTAAGAAATATTATTTCCCAGAACAACGAGGACCTCGACCTTTATGTGAGAGACCACGACTCCTGGGGGAAAGGAGTCATCAAAAAGTGCAAAGTAAGTTTGTCCTATTTATTCTATTGTCAATGACAGATTCGGAATTCGGTGAATGCTCTGCCCCACAGGCGTAATGCTTCCGCTCTAAGCGCCTCCGCCATTGAAAAGTTGTGCATCGTCTGCTCTGCGATATGGTGACGTCGGCAATGTCAGTTTCAGGCTCGAGCAGAGGGAGTGAAACTCGCCACTTTTCAAACCAGACGAGATGTCGCGAGGCGGCGGTGGTGCCTGCAATATTTTGTACGAGGCAAAGTGCTGGAAGGTTTTCTTCCTCGTGTTGTTGAAGGTGACGGCAGGACCCGCTCATGTCTGACAGTGGTATGACGAGGCATTTGCTGCTTACCAGATTTACTGTCTAACTGGTCACATCGATGAGGCTTGGCGAGGGTGGCAGTTTCAAGGACGAATGAATACTGCTTTGAAGGCGTCTTATCTGTAGGCATCCTTTGTTTATTAAAGCGAGCGGGGAAGCAGACGCAGTCCGATGAGGCAGCACGGCAGTGGCGTTGCCTGAGTATTTCAGGTAGCGTATCCCATTGCCAATGGTGACCACGGCATTGTCGCATCGCCGAAATCGCCGCAAAGAAACACTCACGCTGCCACGATCTTGTGACGAATTTCATCCCAGGGGCAAACGCTAAAAACGAAAAGAAGCCATTGGCGTAGAGGAATAGAGGAAACGTCGCGCCGGTCTCCACATGTGAGGCTTACGCGATTGTTCGAGCGAGGCCACGAAGCATTTCGACAACAATTACGCAACTTCTGAATTCTTGCATCGTCGCGCAAAAACTATCGCAAAGAAACACTCACGTCGCCACGATTTTGCAGTGTCGGTTTCCTCGAGGTCAAACACCAAACGAATGAAGAGAAGTCGTCGGCACCGTTTCCGTCGGTCTCGTCAAGCGAGGATTACGCGATCGTCTATGCAGGGGCACCAATCACGTCGATGGCAACCAAATTGGACGGCGAGACGATCAAATTTGTACGTTGTAGCGGAGAAACTCCGTGCGCTAAATAGGTATCGGCACGGTTCTAGGACATAAAACCGGGTCTCTCGGAGAAACCGACGTTCCCGGGTGGAACAGACGTTGAAAACGGTGTGCTCCACCTTGAAGGCGATCCTGTGCCAAGCCGTGACGTCGGGGACGTCGAGAAATGAGTGGGAGCAATTGGCTGGCAGAGGTATATGAATCCCTTTGGGGTGCATATGCATGTGAATTCTTAGCCTGTCACCTACTATAGCTTTTGTTCTTTGCCTGTTTAAAAGGGTATGTCCTGATTGAGTCAGCTTCTCTCATGCATTCTTCCAGGTTTCCCCGGATGCCTTCATCCAGATGGCCCTGCAGCTGACTTACTACAAGGAGAACAAGAAGTTTGTCCAGACCTACGAGGCCAGCATGACTCGACTCTACTTAAATGGGCGAACGGAGACTGTGCGGTCGTGCACTCTGGAGGCGGTGGACTTCGTCAAGTGAGTGTCCCCTTCTTTAACCTCAAAAGTACCTTACCTGCTGTCACATGCAGTGCAAGCCTTTTCCCCGGAATGCTCTGTGCCTTGTTGTACAATATGGCTTTGATAGGTTCTCCAAGAAACTACGTGCAAGCGTTTTAAGAAAAGGGTGGTCTCGTTGGGAAGTGATGATCAATGACCCAAGGCATGTGCAAAATAGTGGGTTTTGAGTTCGAAGCAGATTAGAAGTGAATAGTGGTGTTGGCTAAATATTTTTGAATCGGATATTGAATAGTTTCTTCAATCCTTTCACTACCACGCACCATGCTTCAGCAAACATTTAGCTGAACTTGTGAAAGTTGTTCCCATCCTTTCACTAGTCCACTTCTAAGTTCAGTTCATTTTAATATAACTATTTTTTGGGAACTGTGGCATGTAAACAGAGTAGAAAAAAAAAATAATGATTTCTAGAAAACAATAGGTAAGTACTAAGTCAGATTTGATTTAATTCATAACTATCTTATATAAATCAGATTATTTTTATTTAAATCACTGTAGCTATAAAATAGGTATTCTCTATCACTGGATGTATTTTTCAACATTAAAGATTGATTGATTAATTCGTCCAATAACTGATAACATTCCGGGAATTATAATTACTGTCAATGCAACTTACAGTTTAATTACCAAGTTTTTATTGCTGTAATCCCTGCCATACTGGAAAAAAAAAACACCTCTCCGGCTCTACTAGCTCTACTGGATGCGCTGCACACTTTTTTTATGGTCACATGGTTGAAAACCTACTCTACTTTCCACTGCTAGGTGACGCCATGCTATGGCTTTTTATTTTCTCTAGCTGCCTGTCATTATCATCATCATTGTTGCCATTCTGCTTTGTTCATTTGCCACTCTGCAGTTGTGGACCTGCGCCTCTCATCTTTTCTCGGTGAATCGTGTTTGCGGACTATGCTGGCTTGGATGTCATAGCCACATCTGTTCTTCCGCCGTTGTTTAGTGTTGTTAAGAACTGCGAAAAGTTCTCGACCATAGCGCTAGGAAAGAAGGCAGCAATTCTAAGCTATTAGAAAGTGGCCGAACGCAAGGGGAGGTGTAACCTGAAGCAAGGCCCAATTGACGTCTTTTATAAGCCTGCTTAGACGTAATAGAGGCAAGTTTTTTAATATGCTGATTTTTCGGACTGTCGTATTATTCGGACATTCTTTCAGTCCCTGTGGAGTCCGAAAAATTGGTCGGCAACTGTATCTTTCAGAATTTTGAACTCTGTTTTCTCATTTTCATGTTTCCTCATCTTAAAATGAAGGAATGATACATAAACGGGTACAAAAGAAATCTCGGAAACTTACTTGGAGCCGTTCTTTGTATTGTTTATGTTTACCGCATTTCTCAATATGCTGTGATCATGGTAAACGCCTCATCGTGCCCGAAGCATGGTCAGCATTTCTCTCTAACCTACCCAGTTTGGAACTCTGTCACTTTCCATTTCCACCGACAGTGTCGATCAAGGCAGTCCTGTCAGACACTGCATCAGTTTAATGAAGTAGGTAATCTCTAGGACATTCATTCGGATTTTATGGTAATCTAATTACATTTTTTTCTTTATTCACCTCTGTCACATTAGAGCGTTTGATCAATCTGCCGTTGTTATAACCTCCATGACGAGCACACTCTTGTTCTTGTCTTCAGAGCCATGGTGGAGAACAGCGTCAGCAACGAAGAGAAGATCCGGCTGCTGAGGCGTGCAGCCAACAAGCACCAAATGCTGTACAGAGATGCCATGAGTGGGAAGGGTGTGGACAGGCACCTCTTTGCCCTCTTCGTCGCCTGCAAGGGCCTCAAATACGTGAGCCTTCACTCTGCACTCTGGTGTATTTTGTGCATTTCACATGCATGGCACCAGTGCTGGATGCAGGGAGCATGCTAATAGACCTATTGCTATATTACCCAAGCATCAAGGAGAATGCAGGGATTGGTGTTCCACGTGCCGCACGTGGTGGCCTCAGCAGTAGTGACTTTTCTAAAGCAAATACCTAAAACAAATGGCATCTTGCACGCGCGCTCGTCAACGCTTTATTTTGGTTCTTTACTTCGCATCTTTCAAACGGGGAGGGCGTGCGCGTGCGGCGCGTGGAACATCGATCCCTGCATTCTCCTTGATGCTTGGGTAATATAGCAAATGGTCTATTGCAAACTCCAGTGTTACACTAAATAAGCAACATGTTTGAAAGAAAAAGAAAACTTTCAGCTTTCCCACTCTGGTGAAAAAGGAAAACCAGCAAAGCTGTACTATGGCGGGACAATCTCAAGGACGACGTCTTGATTGACCTCAAGGACGACACCTAGGGCAACCTCAAGGAAAACGTCTAGAACGACCTCAAGGACGACCTCTAGGGCAATGCCTAGGACGACCTAAGGGATGACGTCTAGGACGACCTCAAGGACAATGCCTAGGACGACCTAAGGGACAGCGTCTAGGACAATCTCGAAACCGACGCCTAGGACAACCTCAGGGATGATGTCTAGGACGACCTGGAGGATGTCTAGGATGTCTTCTAGGATGACCTCATGGATGATTCTAGTACAACCTTGAGGACAACCTCTCAGACGACCTCAAGGACAAGTTCTAGGACGACGCCTAGAGAAATTTAGCCTTTCGACTCTGGTGCAAACCAGAGTGGAGAACCAGAGTAGATGGCAGTAGCTGTCCAGAGTTTCGTGTCGAGATTTATTTGTCCACCGACACGAAACCGGGAAAACTAGCCCTTAACAGCTGCACTGTAAAATAAGGAACGGTGTTTTTTTTTTTTTTTTTTTTATAGCATTGTTGAACGCTCGGTTTGTAGCCATACTCAGCGCTGGTGATCCGAACTTGGCACCAAAGTTTCAGAACTAATGGTTATTATCTTAGTCAAAAGCTATAATGATGCCCTGAAACTTTAAATGGGAAAATGGGGCTCTTTCTCGGTGGTTTGCGCCGCTCGGGCCCATGTATTTCGGGGGCTTTCTCAGCTACGATTTTACCATAGGAAATTTCTGAAAGTCACTTTAAACTTTTGAATAAGATGATGGTTTGTTCTGAAACTTTGGAATCTGCTGGCGCTACATTTGGGCAGAAGCTGAACATTCAATGACGCATAGTTTATAGTGTTTTTGGGGACACACTGTACATTCTACAACATCGTTAGCGCGAACACAACATTGACACCTTTTTGCATTTTGCTCAGATAGTTTATTGATGGGTACCGAACTTTGCCGCTAAGTCTACTACCCCGAATGAGGACTTTCTGCTGCACTACCGTAAAATCTTGTAAGGGCGCCCGCCCCTGAGAGATCGCCCATCCCGTTTTTTTGGCTAAATATCTAACAGAAAAATTCCGAAACATCGCCTGTTGGACGTCAAGCAACGTCCGACGGAAATCGTGCGTCAACGGCGCGATCGGCGGTACCGGTGTGTCTGAGATGCGAATTCATAGCGGGTTCCTGCGTTTTTGTCTGCTATCTGCGCGCGATATCGGCTCATGTAAGACGCGAGTTGTGCCCGCGTGCATATTGCATCGTGAAATTCTAATTTGCTGCGTTCGCGATTTGCGGTATCCATTCCCGAGTTCGTAACGGATTCCCGTGTTTGTGTCCGCGATCTGCACGCGCGATATCGATTTTTAGCTGTAAGTACTGCGTGCAAGTTGCTCCTGCGTGTATATTGCATCGTGAAATGTGATTCTGTTGCGTCTGCGATTTGCAATATTTGTTTCTGTGACATGTGAGTTTGTAGTGTTTTCCCGTGTTTTTGTCTGTGATCTGCGCACGCGATATCGATTTCCGTGACAGGCAAGATTGTAGCGGGTTCCCGCGTCTTTATTGCACCATAAAACTTGAATCTGCTGCGTCCGCGATCTGCGGTATCCGTTCCCGTGAGATGCGAGTTCTCGACGGGTTGCTGCGAGTCCTTCGCACCATGAAACACGAATCTGCCGCGTCGGCCACTTGTGGTATCCTTTTTCGTGAACAGGAGTTTGTAGTGAATTCCCGCGTGTTTATCGCATTGTGAAACACAAATTTGCCGTGTCTGCGATCTGCGGTATCAGTTCCCGCGTTACGTGGTTTGTAGCGGGTGCCCCGGCGCTTATCATTAATTTTTGATAAAGTTTTGCTGTGGCATCCCCAAAGATAGCCCACCCCATGTTTTTCATAATTTATCTCTTCATTTTGGATAGGCGTCCGTACGGGATTTTACGGTAGTCATTTTCACGGCAGCGGTTAGATTTTACGAGAAAAAAAGGAAAAACTGGTATGATTTCTCGTTTGTACTAACAGTGTCACGCTGTGTACTTGTTGTACAAGTAACTCGCTTTAAACTGATTGGGCCCACAGTTTTGTTCCTCCCCCCCCCCCACCCCCCACCTTCATTTTGGACTAGACGAACCTTGTACCACCGCGTGTTTGCGTAATGGCTACCGCAGGACACACTCCAGGCTTTGGGTTTGCAGTTTACCGCACTGGCCAAATTTCGTCGTCTATAATCTACAGGGCAAACCGGAGTTGCCACTTCTCGAGTATCTCAAAGTTGAACCGACCTCGTGCTAAACGAAAATTTGCGTCAACAGTCAGTGACGGATTAAGAGCCCAGTAGACCCTCTACTTTCAGCATGAGCTTGTTGCTGACCATAGTTTGCTTTTCAATGCCAGACGCGTTTTATGGGTCATTTTCTATGGGAAAATTATCATGAACGAGCATCGTGGACGAGCGTCAGGAGTGGACGTCCTGAAGAACCGACACGGACAAGCGACACGCTGGGAGCTTTGCACAATGTTATGGTTATAGGTAAAGCTTACAAAGGCCCACGTAAAATCAACGTAAGAAAGATGTCCCAACGGTGCTCAAACCCGGGTCGGTGCAGTGGTGGTCGGATACTGGGGCCACTGAGCTACTTAGCGCAGCCAATTCGGAAAAGGAAAATACTTCATTTGCGTAAAAGCATGCCAGCGAGAGCAGCACATTTTGAATGCAAGTAATAAAATAATAGATAAATATGAATGTAAAATAAATAAATAAAATTAAGTAAAACAAGAAAATACTAGATAAATATGAATGTAAAATAAATAAATAAGAATAAGTAAAACAATAGAATAATAAAACAAAATCATAAAAAGACATACAGATGGACAATAAGAAGAATTAAATATTCTGCGCAAACAATGCACGGAGCACGGTTTGTGCAAGAGCGCATTTTATGCTCCCTGTCGTTTGTCAGCATGATAAAGCTTGTATAATTCTTTTTGGTACCCGCAAATACTCTGGGAGCAACAAGGGCAGAGTTTGCCGGCGAGGACTGCTGGCTGTGCACTCGAGGGCCAGCACGTGGGAGTAGCAATGGCCGCCTCTCTGTCCCCTTGCAGGAGAGCGAGTTTCTGACCAATGCCATCATGCGTCCCTGGACGCTCTCCACGAGCCAGACTCCGCACACACAGCTGGACTATTCTCCGGATGCTGATCTGGAGGTGTTTACAAACAAGGTATGCATCACTGTGACATATCCACTGAGCCTGTATTTGAGTAATGGGGGTCAACTGATATAGCCTAGTTAAAAAGGGTGCCTTCAACTGCTCTTAAGACATGCCCTTTCTCTCGAGGAAGGAAACTTATAAAAGAAGAAAGTTTGGCTTTAACAAAATTCTGGGGGGGGAGGGGGGAGTTTTTTTTTTTTCCAGCTTCAATGTTTTTTTGTGTAAATTGGTCAAGTTATAACCAAATTACAACAAAAGAAAAACGACAGAATCTGGAAAAAAGATACCCCCTTTCCCCCAAAAATGCCCTCAAATTAAAAAAAAAAAAAAATCAACACTGAAAACATGGAACTTTACCTCTACCCCATTCACACAGCAGCGTGAAGGTACCTTAGCTAAAGTCCCTTATCTGGTGGTACTTTTAGTAAAGGCCATTTGTTATCGCACGCTGGATAAACTGAGGATGAATGTATGGATCGGTGGTAGTGGCCATACCCTTTGTGTCCGCCTGATCGTAACAATCTGTGGCGCGTGAACCGTCAAGAGCGAGGAAGAAAAGCCTTTCTACATGGCAGATGGAGCGGGAAAAGCTGGAATGAGCGGTGGCAACGCACACCTCAAGGAGGACCAACAAAGAAGCTTAAATATAGTTCCGAAGTGAAAGGTTTGTGTACAAACAATTCGCTGGCGCGTCCGCGCTTGCTGTCCCGAAAAAGGATCTCCATCTTGCCATGCATTTAACCTCCTCAAACAGGAGGGGCATTGCGGCCATCATAACGAGGCTAATATTCCGGGCAGTGTACTGTTTCAATAAATGCAAAGAACTGGCAATATATTGCTTTGAAGGTCATTACCTAGTTTCGTGTAGTTGCTGCCATTTCGTTTTCTTACACAAAAAACCACTGGCGGCAGGCATCGTACAAGCCAACTCTAAAATGAGGTGCTTTCCTTCAAGACCCCTGAAAACAGATGTCCAACACTGCCAAACATGCACTTCGAGAAGCACGTTCCAATGCTTGGAAACGAGTATAATAACATTGACTTCCAAGCTCTATGGTGTTCTTTGTGTACACTGTCGTGCTGCATTTTAAGTGCGCGTAACTTTGAAGTAGACACGTTCAGCAGAACGCGTGATGACTGAAACTGCTAGGGCGAGTATACAATTCCTGCTGACACATTCCATCACTATTTCATCACGTTTGTGTTAAGAATTATTCCAATGATTACTACCTAGAAATATTTTCTTTGTTATGACGCATTAAACAGCATACATTTGTATATCTCATTTTTATCTCAAGTTCAAGGGTCCGAGGCTACTTCCTGTAGCTGTGAAGGGAGGTTTGGCGAGCTCCCTTTACAATCGGCCCTCTCTTAGTTGAAGGGACTGTTATTTGCCGTGTGATAAAGACCTCCAGCTAAGGTTTTTTACTGAAGGGACCTTAGCTAAAGGTACCTTTATGGTGCCGTGTAAATGGGGTATTAGAGACAGGCTGCAGACTTTTTTTGTTTTTAGGGGCGAAGCTCCTTGTCCGTCCGGCGTCCATGCCCACATCGATTGCCATCCCATCTCTCTTAAAAAAAAATGTTTGCGCAGTCAACAGGATTATTTTTTTATGATGTCTCCCATCTCCCGGAGTATTTTTTCCTTGTGCTTTGCCCTTCCCAGCACGTGGCTACGATGGACATTGGCAGTATATAATCGGCAGCAGATGATGTGGCCACTCATTCTATTTGCAAGCTGAGGCAGAACACCACTTATTTTTTTAGGGGTGAAGCTCCTTAGGGTCTAGCCTTGTCCGTCCGGCGTCCGTGCTCACATCGATCTTGCTGGTGCTCATGCTCGTGCTCGTGATCATGCTCGTAAGCTCACGTGCTCGTGTAAAGCAAAGAAAAAAGTTTGCACAGATGTGGTAGTAACTCAAGAGCTGGGGATGTCATGGATGAAACGTTGCATGTAGCCGCTCAATGTCTATACAGGAGAGTACGCTGCAGTCAAATGCGTATAATATTGTGTTAAACTTTTCACGCATTGGCTCAACGTTTATAGACGAGAGGGCGCTGCGGTCGAATGCTCAAATGCGTATGCACCATCAGCACTACCTATGAACAAAATCAGTATCATCAGCACTACCAGAGCTTCGCCCCAATCAACATCATTCACCACATGGAGATGCGGTCATTTGTTATAGAAAAATGCCAATAAACATTTTACAGTGTTAAAAATTGCCTGGTCTAGACATTCTTGTCGAATGCAACGGAGATGCGACAGTGTTTGACGGTGTTAAAGGGAGGGAGGGAGGGGAGAAGTATAAACGGTGCACTAAACCCCCCCCCCCCCCCTTCCCGCTGCTCACTCTTATGGTGCTATCAACATAAGCAAGCAAGGTTCAGTGAGTGTTTCCATATAAGGCTATCTCTTTAAAAGACAAAATTGGTGTAATTCACAAAGCATTGATCTCTGGAAACCTTTGCTCTAAGTAAGGGTTATACCTTCCTTGGTCATTTCATTGGGCATATGATCTTACCTAGGATCAAACACCCTGCCAGTCTCGAACCAGCGGAATCACTGACTTTGGAGGACAGAGTGTCTTACATAGGAGTTAAGTTGGTCAGTCGATCACCAGGGAGGGTTACAGTGGCTTTGTTCAGTGCAGCTCAGAGCTGGACATTGGTGTTTTTGTGACACCGGAATCGGGGCAGCCACCTTAAATTATATAAAAATTATAAAAATAATTTTTTTTTTCTGTGCATTCTTAATCTTGCGTCTTTGTTTTATTTGTGTTTGGCGGCAGATTTGTCCCGGAGGTGGCTTTGGCCCTGTGTCGGACGACGGCTATGGAGTTTCGTACATCATTCCAAACAACTCCAAGATATTCTTCCATGTCTCTTCCAAAAAGTCGTGCCCAAACACAAACTCTGAAAGGTTTGTGAAGACTCTGGATGAAAGCATGAACGAGATGAAAGTCCTCTTTAGCTTCTAGCCAAGGCGCTTGTTAGTTTCGAAACAGCTCGCCGAATCCGACAACGACCACTTGTGTGGAAACTCCAACACTTGCAGCACTGCTCGAAGTTTAACACCGATCGTATTGTCGGCAAAACGAAATTGCGATTTCGATGTCTCGCACAGTTTCTCATCAACAGTGTTGGGTATTTACTTTTATGTCTATTGACTCTGCTAAGAATCGTTTTCTGATGATGCACGCTCTTTGGTAGAGGTGGAGATTTTACTTACTTGTTCTTTTTTGCTGGACATCGGTGGCTCGACGGTGGTACCCTTTTATCTCACGAGCAGCGGGCGAGGTGACAAAGGTCAGGTAATCTGTGCAACCGTGGACAAAAAGCGAAATGTGTTAAACACATGTCGCTTCCTCACATGACTGAGCTGTCCAAAGAAGTGACACGAACCGATTCTTTACGTGGTTCTGCACTACTTTTAGCTTGCTGTCGAATTTGTGTTTTGTGAGGTCATCTAATGAAATTTGCAGTCATGTACATGTGTTGGCCCCAAGAAACTTCCTAAGCAAGCGAAACATATTTTTGTATACTCTTGTTCATCCTTGACCTTTGGGCTATTATATACATAGCTCTTCTTTGGGCCGGAGTGGAGTTTGTCTCAATTCTAAGGGGCATTTTACATATAACCTTTCTGATTAGGGTATGGCATACCTTGGAGCATACCCGTTGACGACTGCAAATTCTGCTTTACGTAATTTTATACCATATCATCCTACTGAAGGTGGGATGGGAACTGAAGGCCTGGTGCTTTAAATGTACATAAAAGTGTGTGACATTTCAGTTTGTACGGGGCAGGCACTTCTCAATCAACCAGGCATTGGTTGAACCTCGATTTGTTTTAGTGTCGTTGTGGGTGTGGAAATAAATATTTTTTTTGGGTGAGTGCTTGGATTTCTGTATAACAAGTTTTACATGCCTCACAGTGTGAGGGGCTCATTCTTTTAGCAATGCCAGAATTTTTACACTGTTTGATACACCTTTGATGTGGAAGTGTTTTAATTGGAAATATGACATTAAATTTTGTCTGTGGTTCTCCCTGAATGTCTGAATTTCTCTATAAAGAAGCAGCAACAGTTGACTTTTAGACTTCCGTTTGCAAGGGTGTCTTTCCATGGCTGTTGCACATTTTTCTGAAAAGCGTTTGAGTCATTTTCTTAAATAAATAAAATGTATTTAGCCGCCAGGAATACGAAAAATCTTTTTTGGAAAAAAATGCTACAATGTTGCATGACATGTCAATACTAACTTGATTGTTGTAAACAGCAAAGGCACCCATTGTGACACATAGACCATTTGAGTTGCAGCACTGTACATCAATCTAGTTGCTCATCGAAGCTGAAGGCATGGAGCCGTGAGTGCTATAGTCGGTTACAAGTCAAGAAGGTAGGAGAAGCTCCTCCCACAAGTGTGATGCGCCTGTTTCAAATCTCTCCGCAGTCGAAAGAAGAGTTCACTGGAAACGCTCCTTGTTCGCTTCAATGGATTCCCACTTGTCTCCGATCCCACTTTTTAAGAAAGCGACCTTTGTATTCATCGGAGAGGGAACAGAGCCCCTGAAAGCAGCCTTTGTATCCATCGGGAGGGAAGCTAATCCCCGAAAGTCGTATTTGTTTCCGTCGGTGGGGGAGAACTCTAATCTCCCTCTCGTGGCTTCCACAATGCTAAGTCAAAGCCGAAAGATAAAGCAAATATGTACAAAAGGGCAAGACCCTCCTCGCGCGTTGGCCGCGACGTCACGGAAATGGTGGGACGCTATTGGATGCGGAGGTGGCGGAGGGATATCTGATTCCCTTTGAGGGGCATTTGCCGCTACCTTCTTAACCTGTAACTGACTATACTTTTATTCCTTCATTTCTCTACATTGACATTGTGCATGTTTTTGTGTTGTCACCGGTAAAGTGTTGCCTTGTTGTTCATTTTAGGGTAGTTCGGAGGACCACAAGACCAATTTAAAGATGCAGTTTTGTGAACAGGGTATTTGTGCTAAAAGCCTTTCCTCTAATTCCCAATTGCGCAACTCGTGAATGAGCTGACTGATGCTTTTTAATTTAGTTTAGTGAGGATGAGAAATACAAGTTATTGGAAAATAAATTTCATAGACTTGATTCATATTTTGAGGTACGTATTTGGCACGGGAGGCACTCACTTGATCGAATGACGTTTTAGCGAACGCCCACGTTTCATCGAACGACACTTTAGCGAATAGTCGGACGCCGCGAAGCGGCGTTTTCGGGTGGGCCAAGTGAGTTCATATTTTTGTAATGAGTTGCCGTAGACTGTCGCCGCGAAGCGGCGTAAAGCGCAGCGCGACGGATGGGTTAACGCGCGCCCCCGTTATTCGCTAAAACGACCATTCGCTCAAATGTCGCCGTTCGCTAAAATGTCATTCGCTCTTGTGATATGGACCCATTTGGCACACACTACAAAATAAAGCTTTCAAAATTGCAAGCACTTTTTCACAAAAGAATCTTGATTGCAATCCTCTCCAATAAAATGTTGAAAGGGGTCTCGTCATTTGTTTGGGAGTTGCACAGCTTCAAAATTTTCCATAGAGAATGCATTAGAAGCTGGCACGATTGTGCCACTTGGCAAACAAGCAATAGACACTGCTTGCACACATGCCAAACATCTTTTTACATGAGCATTTCCATCCGGTGCCAATAGAACATGTTGAATACACGGTACTGCTGAAGGTTGCTCAGGTTGCCAAAAAGATGCTTTTGTATCGGCCAACACTGCTGGTCGTTTGTTTTCTTAGGGGGACTACCTTTAGCTCTTTAGTAAAGTAGCCTTTTAAGCAAGTTTGTATCCCCTGAGTGGGGGATCGGTGGCCGAGTGAAGACTACACCTAACGCAGGGCCAGGCCCGGTAGCGCAAGGAAACAATCAAGGCAACAAAGGAAGATTGGCCAAATAGCGAATTTCCTCCCTTAAACACGACTCCGGAGCTCTCTCTCCAACAGCTGCTACCTCGACGAGAACGTCCCACCCCGTACAGCGGAGTACCCTTCAAGCGACCCGCACCTTCAACAGCTACGTCCCAGTCATCTATAGCAGGTGAGTAAGAAGACAAGAACGACGAGAGAGGTGACGTGAAACGCAAGCCGACCACGGTGCGGGAACAGCCACATAGCAAGACCCCACAGCCGACCACGTGGAGAAAAACGGCGATGCACTGCCACCCTAACTAACATCTCTGGCATTTCCTCCCCTCAGCTTCGCTACCATGAACGCTAGAGGACTGTGTTCACGTGCACGACAATCGCAATTGATTAGGCTCTTCTCAAAAGAACAGATCGATTTTGTTGCCGTCCAGGAGACAAAAATATCGTCTAATGAGGACACGGCTCGTGCACTGCACCCTTTCCTCTCAAATTATGAGGTATGTGTTAGTCATGCTGATGGGTTGTCGGGAGGGTGCCTTTTGTTTTTAAAGGCCGCTGTACAAACGGGACGTTCTGCAGGGAAGAACCTTCTCTCCCGAAGCTGGAGACGGGAAGGGAAAGGGCCAGCGTTGGGTGGAAAGGGCGTCTAGAGGATGGGATTAGCCTTGGGGCGAGGCCATCCTCTCGAGAGGGAGTGGGGACGGAACAAAGCTGCCGTGGGGGTTCTGGCTACCAGGTGGAAGAAAGATAAGCTTGTCAAACGGCGACCTCGGATGCGAGGACGGGCACGTCAGAGAATTTGAAAATAGCTGCTTGATTAGCCGGAGGACCCAGTGCGGTCTACTGGCTCTAGAAGGTGACTCGGATGAAGAAAACTCGTTTTGCTCCAAAACTCTAAAAGCATTCTGGAACGTGAACTCTTGCCACAAATAAAAATAACACATACATGAAAAACTACGAAGGCACCTAAGCTCTCTCCTATGATGTGAGAATGCGTGAGCATTACAGGCAGAGTTATGTTGGCGCAACTTGCAATAAAGAAAGAAAAAATAAGTTATGCTGGCGCAACTAAGCGCAACGAATAGCGCGCTAGTTTTACGATCAAGAGGGCCTATACTTCGTTTCAGCTTCGGTCCAGACGCAGCCAAAGCTACAAGCGCGAGCTCCGGGCTTTCAGCATCCCTGCCAAGCACGCGCGCTCGTGCAGTGCAAGCACTGTTCTGGGCCACATGCTCGCGCTTGTAGCATCGGCTGCGTCTGGACCGAAGCTGAAACAAAGTATAGCTTCGAAACCGGGCAGGGGATGGTTTTTTTCTTGTGTTCTTTTTCTATTTCATTTACTGTAAAACCCTTTATTTTCGCGGCCCCTATTTTTCGCGAATCGGTCACAGATGACATAATCGCGACCACTAAATTTCGCGAATTCCAGACGCCTGCATTGAAAATATTAAGGACCGAAATTTTCGCGCGCCCTTAAATTTCGCGAATTCTTCAATCCGCGAAATTCGCGAAAATTGAGGGCTCGCGAACATTAAGGGTTTTACAGTATTTTTTTTTTTTTTGTTCGGTCACGTGACAATAAAAATCGCATGAACAGAATTTGTTTTGGCCACGTCACCAGAGATTTTTTTGTCTTGTTTCTCCTTTTCTTCTGTCTTTTTCCCCCCTTTTTTTCGGTTTGTGCTCCCTTTTGCAAAACTCTTTGCACCTATTTCGCGTTACTTTGGCGTCAGCCAAATCATTTTATTTATGGCAGGGAATTCTGCCGTATGTATCTATGTTACTATTACCAATTCTGGCTTGCAATACGCATAGAGAATTTCGTCCGGCAACCAGTTTGGGAATGACGAGGCCAAATTTGTGTTATAATTTTTTTGAGGTATAAGCATAATTTCGGCCTCGTTATCCGTTGGTCTCTATGATTGGCTCTTCAAGTATCTTTTGGGAAGGCAGACGACTGGCATTTTTAGAGTGCACGTGTGTCGACCAGAGTGAACATTGCTGAAGTGCCTCCAATGGGATTTTGGCCGTAAATAACTGGAGGCCCCGGGCAAACCCACCCAATGTAGAAAACGGACGAATCCCAGCCGAGTCAAACTACCGGCTTGCAAACGCAATCGTGTTGACAATAGCTCCAAGGAGTTTGTATGACTCTCTCTGGCGGTGTGCAGAGGGTAAAGGCACGGAGGTAATATATGCTTTCGCCTAGTCACCTCGCAAACGGTTGGGTATTGGCTGCAGAGATCCATTTCGCTTTGTTTTATCACAGGGATTATAGCTTGATTTCTGTGTTCCTAATTTCGGAGACAGAACGAAATCGCTTTTCTCGTGTGGCGTCACGGTGGTGAGACAGAAATCAATCAGTGTACCGGAATTCGACGCTTCTAAAAACCGTGCAACAATGCATAAACAACAATGCATAAACTGCAGTTACTTGTACTCGTATTGCATCGTGAGGGAACGACTATGACTGGGTAAACAGGAATAGGGAGAATGGGTGCGTGTGATTTGTTGAAGTTCGAATCAACAAATCAAGCTTCAACGAATGCGATAGTATTGCATTCACTCAACCAGCTATATGAGTTTTCAGACGGTATATACCTTCCAAGTATGCGATTCGTGTTCTGCCAGTGGTACCTCAGCTAAATTAAAAAAAAAAAAAAAAATCCACGATGAAAAAAAAAAAAAAAGTTTACGGTGACTCGAGCCGCTTCCGCGCCGAATCATGTTTTACGTAAGCGTAATCTTGGGTTCGATGCACGACGAGGGGTCTTCAATCATAAAAACAGTTTGATTACGATTATTGGCAACGCTAAAAATTTGAAAGCCAAGCAGTGAAGACGACGGTGTTCTTATAAATATTATATACATTTTATTTTACACTGTTTGAATACGCTGCCGTCGTTACGGTCTTGAATTATTGGCTAGCTTGTGGCGGACAGGGAAGTCATGCAGGACCATATGATAGGACCTAGACTAAACTTGCCGCGCTTCGAAAAATGTTAAGGCTCGTTCACACTCTTGCAACCGAGTACGACTGAGAGAGACAAGACCGTTTTTTAATCCTCTTGCGACTTCTTAGGACGGGGCGCGCTGCTGCGGAGCTGGTTCTAAAGGCCCGTTCACACTCTTGCGACCGAGTACGACTGAGAGCGAC